GTATTGCTTCTTATCTACAATAACAATCTTCATGAAAATATTACATCTAAAGTGGCTCTATTTGCTGACAACTCAAATTTATACTCTTGTTTTGACAAAAAATCTTCACTTTTTGATTGCTTCGAACAAACAACCGGTTTTTAGTCTGATTTTAATATCTCTTCTGTAACAGCCTAAGGCTTGCAGTATTTGCTTGTGAATTTAAATTCTGGACTTAAAATCCACAATTTTTGTTAGACAACAAAACCCATTTATTTACTGCAAAAAATGTTGGCAAAAAAAAAAATGTTGGCATGCCTATATTGACAAAAACAACCCCCTCTTACTCTCAGACGAAGTATAGACATTGTAAATGTAGTTAGATCTGCTTTATCTGCTAAGCTTGAGCCACTCTCCCATTGTTTTAAGGTTGTATATCTTTCTTTTTTCTACAAATACTATTATGGTCAATGCTCAAACAAGCTATCACCTTTATAACAATAAACCAAAACTCATTCTTGCTTGGCTTTTTATTCAACAAGTTGCATCCTTTTACTGTATCTGTCCCTTCATGCTAAAAAAGCTTTTATTAATCCAGTTTTTTTCCTTGAACATCAAAAAAAAAACCTCATAACTCTTCATGTTTTCCTTTTTTATACAACTTACAACTTTTTTAGTCTTCAGTTATTCATTTCCTAGTATTTTAACTTATTCTCTGTTTTAAAGTAACTCATAACTTAATAATGGTTGCTTGCAATCTTGTTGGAAGTAAATTAGAGATTAAAAATATATAAATGTATGCCAGTATTTTATAAATAGTAAACGTAAGCATAAAACTATGTTATAAATTCTAATAATTTTAAAAGAAATTATAAAATCTTATAAATTTGCCGGGGCCAGGTTTGATAAAAGTCTCTTTTAGCCGGGGCCAGGGCTTCCATGAAGCAATTTTCAAAAACTTATAACTAAAAATTTAGAAATCAACAAACAGTATCTTTACCCAAAGTAACACAGATTTTTATGCGTAGCTTGTATGCATTAAGGCTAGCCATGCTAGACAAATTGCAGGGCCTGTGCATTTGGGGGCTTGCAAATTTGGGTTTGGCATGCTGGTCTTTTTCATAAGCTTGCTTTATATGGTTTGTCTAGAAAAATTTTTTGGATTATTGGATCATTACTTTCTAAACACAGTATTGATTTCATATCTGGTAACTTCTGAGGTGTCTCAGGATTCTACCCTTGGTTCTGTATAGTTTCTTTTTTACAATAATGATCTTACTAATGACTATACATCTAAAGTAGTTCTATTTATTGAAGACTCAACTTTATACTCCAGGCTTAATAAACATTTTTCTCTTTTCAATTGTTTAGAATTTAGAACAGGCAGCCTATCTTGAATCTGATCTCTCTTCTGTAACAGCTAGTGGTGCTTGTGGTGGCTTGTAAATTTTAACTAACAAAATTCAGTTTTTAACTGCAAACAAGTATTGCAATAGTATCAACATTCCTATATTAATGAATGGCAACCCTCTCACTAAGTCCTTTTACAATTCCTCACTAGTCTTTTTACAATTGAATAGCAAAGTTAGCATCTGCTAAAGCTCTCTTTATTGTGGATTACATTTTCTTACTCCTGATTCTACTCACTACCTTTACAAATCTCTTATTCATCCCTGTATGGAATGATATAGATCACATTTGGGCTGGGTCTTCTAATGATACTCTTTTTTCTCTTGACAAGGTTCTAAAACCTATTCTAAACGTAGTTGGACCTGCTATATCTGCTGAACATGACCCTCAATCAAATTTTAATCGTCCTAAGGTTGCATCTCTATCACTTTTCTACAAATACTATCATGGTTGCTGTTCAAAGGAGCTTCTCTAAGCAAGAATGAGTATTTGTTCCATCAATAAAAACTTATTCTTCCTTGCTCTTTGATTTTATTCATTATTTTTTAGTAATTCCTAACCTAAAAGTGGTTGCTTGCAACCTTGTTGAAAAAAAATTTTTTTAATTAATGATTGTGGAAATAGAACTTTACAAAATGCAAATATCCTTGTAGGATACGCTTTTTTAGGCAAAGGCTAGGAGAAGCCAACTCCAACTTTTCTTGTCTTGGGGCTCTTGGTTGAGTAAAAGTCTATAATCTAGATCTTCAAATATTTATGAACAGTATTCATTTACAATATTTATGTACTTGATGAGCCATCTACCCTTTGTCTTCTAGAATTAACTCTTACTTCTAATCTCTCTTGAAAACTATATATCAAATCCATTGCAAAATTAGCATTTGCTAAGGTTGCATCTCTTTATCGCCACTTTCTTACTCTGGATTCTATTTTTTATCTCTGTTAATCTCTTATCCAACCTTTCATAGAATACTTATACCATATCTTTTGCAGATCTTCAAATGATGTCCTTTCTATTTTAGACAAGATGCAAAAACACATTTTAAACATTGTTGGATCTGCTCTTACAGCCAACCTTTAAGCATTATCACATTGTCATAATGTTGCTTCTCTTTCTCTTTTGTATAAATACTATAATGGGGGCTGCTTTAAAGAGATATTAAAATATATTAATATCTCTTTAAAGCTATATATTAAAATTTAATCTCATGTTACTTGTCATTCAATTAAGTTTCATACTTTTACTGTGACAATTCCTAAGTGCTCCAAAAATTCTTATTCCTCCAGTTTTTTTCCTCAAACATCAGTTCTTCATCTTTTAAGTCAACTGTTAATCTATCTTGATTTACATCTATTATATATATCTAATTTTGACTTATAAACTTCATCTTTTCTTTACCAGTAACTTCCAACTGCAGCCTTGTTGGAAGTAAAGATATATATATATAAAAAAAAACAATCATCACAATCATAAAAGTAATAATCTATTAATAAATCTCTGAAAACTTTAACAAATTAAAACATTCTTCTAACCCATTATGGGAACCCCGATATCATGGGACCCTAGGCAGCAGCCTAGTCGTTCTATAGGTAAATCCAGCCTTGATTGTGATTATATTTTCATGAATACTTTAAAAAATACTTAGCAATACTTGCATAATTAAACAGGGTTATATATTATGTATGCTATAAGAGGTCTAAACTGTTTATTAGGGGTGTTAAAAAAAAAAAGTTTTCAAAACGCAAATACACAAGAAAGCTAAATTTAGGGCAAATATAAAGAAAATACAATTGCAAAAAAAAATTCTAAAAATATTGACATTTACCTTGAGCTCAAGTGGCAAAATACCCAAAAAATGCCCCAAATTGTTCCTAAATTATTTGGCTTTGAGCACATGGTAAATCTCAATATTTTGAGATTTACCATTATTTTAATTTTTTTCTTTTTAATGTGATCATAATGGTTTAAAGTTTTTTTTAGAATGTTGTGCATTCTAGTTTTTTCATAACTGTTGTTTAAATTAAAAAAAGATTTTGCAAAAAAATATTTTAGTACAAATACGCAAAAAAAGAATTTGGCGCGAATATGCAAAAAAAAAAAAAATTTGTGCATTAATTATGTTAAATCTTTTTTAATTTAAACAGCAATTATGTAAAAACCAGGATACACAACAATCTAAAAAAAATTTGAACCATTCTGATCACATTAGAAACATTTTTTTTACAAAATATTGAGATTTACCTTGCGCTCAAAGCCAAATAATTTAGGAACAATTTGGGGCATTTTTTGGGTTATTTTGCTGCTTGAAGCAAATATCAATATTTAGGAATTTTTTTTTGTAATCGTATTTTTTTTATATTTGCTCCAAATTTGGTTTCTTGGGTATTCACATTTTGGAATTTTTTTTTTTTTTTTTCGAACAACTGTTTATATTTAAAACCTACTGTTTATATTTAATAAATGTTTATATCAACAAGTCTGCCATCTTTTATTTCACAATGAGAGTTAGGCTACTCCAGTAATAAAAATAAAAAAATTGACCCACCATTTTAAAATCTTTCTTCAACCTACCACTACAAATTCTTTAATGTGAGCCCAAATAGGGAACTTTTTATTTAAATTTTAAAATGACATATCTTTATTATTCTTTTTAGACTGAATTTCAAAACATCATAACTTTTGAACCATTTGAAGTTTTGAACTTAATTATGCATTTTTTAAATGTATTATTGATAAGTACCACTGGTACCTATCAAAAAAATGGAAAAGAAAAGTTGAGAGGGCAGGTGGAATAACTATTCTCCATTTACATGGAATCATCCATTAAACACAACATAATTTTTCTTCTTTATTTTTTAAATATTTGACCAATTTATTTATCAAATCATTAAATCTAAATCAATAGCTCTATCAAAACCAGGACCTATGGAGGTCCAAATACCAGGTCTAACCAAACCTCAACAGAACATACTTAAAGTGATATTTTCAATTAATAAAAACAATTATTAGGCATTTTTGTGGCTGTGAACTTAAATAATTCTATAACTTAAAAACATGTTTCTAAATTGTAGAAAGAATCAATTACTTTTATTAGTTGTCTTTCAATTTTGTTTTAATGATTTTAAACAAATGTTTATAACTAAATTATTTTAAATAATTTAATAATAAAAATATTTTAAATAAAACATTAAAAATAAAATCAAACTATTCACTAATTATTAATTCTTCAGTGTTAATAACTAATGAATTGGCCATCTTATTATAACACTAAAACTATGTTTTAAATGGCATTTTAAAAGTTGTACAATAAAATAACTAACAAGTTCAAGTTGGAATAGGACTTTTTAATTCATATAAATTAATAGCTTTACAAAATCTTTTGAAGATAAAATTCATTTAGGTCTCTATATATATTTTGTATATAGAGACCTAAATGTAGGTCTCTATATACAAAATGTCTCTATATATATTTTGTGATGTCAGTTAAGAGAACTTATGCACACAAAAAAAAATCAAAGTAATAATTTTAAAAATAGTTCAAAACAGAGTAAACTTAAATCAAGAATACTTGAAACAATTCAATATAAAAATTAAATAATCCAACACTTACTTTCACTTTTTTTTTCTTTCTATTTTTTTGATTATTTATTATTTCTGATTTTTTATTCATTTTTTGATCATCACCTAAAACTTTTTTTTTTTTAATGTTTCTTTTTCCATCATTATCTGCATCAAAAAATCGTCGCTTATCAGCAAGCATTTTTTTTGATTCTAACATTGCAAGCTTGGCTTGTGATGGTTTTCTTCCTCTTTTTGATTTGCATTCATCATTTGGAGAGTAAGTAGATGGCGAATTAGATTCAGATAATTTACTTGGCAGTTTTTTACCGCCTTCTTCTGTCTTCTTCCTTGGTTTAAGTAGCTCGTCGTCAACGATCTCTTTGGTCATATTAAAATAGAACATAGAAAACCCATCAATTCTTTTAATTTTTTAGCAATAGTATTTGTGATATTTTGACAACTTTTAAATACTTAATAAACCTAATTTTGAAAAAAAAGTGTTGTTAATCGAGAGTTAAAAGCAAAAAAAATTCTTAGAGTATAGTTTTTGCTGTACCTCTTGTAGTACAAGTTGTACTCAAATAACTTTGGAAAACCTCAATCTAACTTTACAGCATCTTATAAACAAACAAACAAGAAAAGAAAAAGAAAAAAAAAAAGAAAAAGAAAAAGAAAAACGAACAATCAATAGCAGTTTACATTATTTTTATACAAAGGAACTTATTAGTTAAAAAGCATACAGTTTTTGATAAAACTCATTTACACTTATTCAACGTTGCTTTAGACTAAAAAAATAAATAAAATTTTATATAGAGTTTTTAAAAAAAACTCTATATAAAATTCTATTTATTTTTTGAAAAACAAAAAAATTTGAAGGTGTTTCCGATACAGCAAGAATTTATGAAACCGGATTTGCCAATAATCGTTGTTCGCTTTTATGCCTATAAAAGTTTTTAAATTTTTAAATACAATGTCATAATATACCTCTTTAAAAATATCATTAAATTTCCCGGAAAACAGTTAAAGTTTAATTTTATCTGTTTTTTTAGAAATATTTTGATAGTCATCCTTAGTTTTCTTAGTACGCTTTTCTTATTAGCTGAAGATAACGATACTTTAACATAATGATGCTTAGGTGAAGATAATGATACTTCATTGTCTTTCTGTTGATATTATGTTACTTAAGTTAACGTAATGATAACAGGAGAACATGAAGAAAAAAAAATTTTCATGTTCTCCTGTTATCGTTATCATAAGTATTTTTCAAATTGGCTTTATAGTATAATTTTTAATAGATCTTTGTGTGCATATTGATTATTTATTTAGTTAAGATTATTTACTTGAATATTTTGTCATTATTTTAATGTTAAATTTAAAATTTGAGCCTTCAGGGTCATACCTGAATCTTAAACTATCCTTCATTGAAGATTGATATCCTTGATCTACAGAGAGTTCCAAATATGTGTTTCTTAAAATCGGAAATGGTATAGAAACTTTTTTTTTTTTTTTTTTTCATTTATGTATTACACGTGTGCAAATTACAATTCTTTATCACTGATAAAGAATTTAGTTTATAATATCAGACCTTGTGGTCTATAAATCTATGATTTATAAGCCCTTTTTAAACAGACTAATAAATCCGTTGAAAGTTTTCTATATTATTATTTATTTTCAACAAATCTTTTTTTAAAGGATAATAAGTAATAATAAATAAATAAATAAATAGTTATAATTATATAAATTTTTATATTTATTTTTGTTTTACTGTACTATAATACTTTCTACATTACAGCTTTTAAACGTAAACAAACGCGATATTAAATTTTGTTGCTACAGCTCAAATGTTAGTGCCCAGACCTACCCGTATGAAACATGCTAATTAATTAAATTTCGTTATTGGAACTATTTTATTTAATATTCTGAAAAAAAAAATTCAATTTGACAAAATAATTTATTTCATGGTAAACCACCTTAATATTGGAATTACTTTCTCTTAGTCCTCGTTATTTGTTGTTAATGAAAGTGTTGTCTTTATTATTATGCTCAGTGATAAGACTAATTTGTGCCTTCTTCTTGCTCCAGCCGATTGTATACTTTTTTTTTTATACTTTTATACATTGTAAAAATTTCTAAATGACAAATAAAACTGAATTAAACTAATTGTTGATATTGAAAAAATCCTTGATCAATAGATGCTTTAAAAACTTTAAATAGAATAACCTTTAACTGTTCATAACACATTATAATTATGTTTCCATTAACTTCATTAATTCGTACTGCTTTGTTTTTGTAAAAGAAATTTGTAGGCTTTTTCAAACTCCTTCTTTAAATCTGAAAATAACTTATTAGAATAAATGCAATTATCCGTAGGTACTAACCATAGGAACTAAGAAATTACTAAATATGGCTTTGGTGTTATAAATCTTTTTAGCAAGTTTCGGACCAATTTTGATAAAGAATTTCGTAAATTCTTGAGCTATAATACTAGGATCATATATGCTTTTGTTACCAACTTTAATCATCAGGACTGAGGAGTTTGAACATGATTTTTGTTTTCGAGTGCGTTGGGAGTTATTTTCAGCCTTATCAAGAAATATTGAGAAGTAATTTTTTTTTAACTCTTTCCGAACTTTTTCAAACAAATTTTTGTAGTCTTTGTATATTTTTTCAGCCGCAGTTGATTTTGTTTTTAAATATGTTATGTATACTTTTGTTTTACTTTGGATGATTTTTTAAACACGTATCCAAGGTGACTTTAGGTTTTTTGAGTCGTTTTACAAATCGAAAAGTTAACTTCATAAACGAAATAAAATGTTTCAAAAAAATTTGTGCTGAATTTTTATTTTAGAGCTTAATCAATTGCTAAGAAAATTGGAAAATGGTCAGATATATCTGTTTTTAGAATTCCTTTTCAAAAATCATTGTTAAAGATATCTGCTGTGATGATGTTATCTAGCAGAGTCGCTGAGTTTACTGTAACTCTAGTAGGGCAATTATTCAAGGGTAGGGCTCCTGCTTCAAAAACCGAATCATAGAAATTTTTATTTATTATAGACAAAACAGTTCATGTTAAAATATCCATTAAAAAAAATTTATTTTTTTTTATCTTTATTTCCTTTCTTAAAATTTGTCGAAAAAAAATGATTAAGTTTTCACTTGCTCCATCAGGTGGTCGATAAAAACAGTTTAATAAAATATTTCTTGTATGATTGTTTAGAGTTTCAATGGTGAAAATTTCTTTATCATTGTCAGAAACACTTAAATCATTTCTAAGGCATTTACATTTACATAGATAAAAACTGCACTACCGCCGCCGTTTGTCATGTCAAAGCATGAAAGTTTTAAAGAATATGAGAAAATGAGAGAGGGAGCAGAGAAAGGTTTGGTATTTATAAACACTAAACCTCTGGGAAGATTAAGCTCTATAAAGATTTATTCCAGTAATTGATCACTATGCGTCAGCTCTTAACCGGATATGTGTGTCTATGATATCATCTCTCTTTGTCTTCTTTTCTCAATTCTGGAAGTGTCAAGATTCTTTGGCTTGTTGATAATGGGAGTGTCAAGTCAGCCGGAGACAAACTCAAATGAGAAGACAAAATCCAAGTTATTTTTACAAGAGCAACTTAGATATATCCGTCTTTGAAAACAACATAGTGCAGTTTTAAGAGTTTTTGAAGGTGTTTCTTAAGGAAGAAAGAATTGAAGTGACCATGAAAAACCTCATTTATTTACTTATACAAAAGAAAGGTGTTGTGGATGAATTTTGTATTGTTGAGGTTGTTTTCCGTATTTAACTTGAGCTGATGCTAAAAAACTGCTCAGTGAAAAGATTGTTTAGTAAAATAAAACTTATCAAAGATACTCTTTCTATCTCAATTCTTTAAGAACGGGTCAGTAACCCAGGGGCGGATCCAGCATTTTTTGGTGTTTGAGATAGCTAACTTCCAGACATGGAGCAAACTCCAAACATTTATATGTTTATACTTATATCAAATAAGGATGGTTTGCAAAAAATTGCAATGATTGGAGCCTGGGAACAAAAAAGCCCCAAAATTTGAGACGTACCTGCCCCAAACGTGAGAGCAACAAGTTGATAAAATATTTTTTGTACTATTCTCAACAAGACTTACATTTATCCATAAATTTTAAATTTCATTGTAAAATATTTCAGCGTTCAAAAATTATGACCATGTAAAGTTTGAATCCCCCTCAATTCGAGGGGGTTACAATTTTTATAAGTAAAATAAAAAAAAAACTTTTATCAAAAGTTTATTTTTTATTTTACTTTTAAATGGGTCAAGGAAAGAAACTTTTTTTAACTCATTATCCAATTGCGCGTTCCATAATTTAGGTCCTCTGATTGCAATCAAGAACTTAGTCGCAGAATATTATGTTTTTGGTTGAATATAATTGTTATTTAAAAACCTTGTTGGGTATAAATAATTTATTTTCTCAAAAAATGAGTTGAATAAAATTGGTGCCATTTTATTATCTACTTTGAGCACAAATATAAGAATAGGATATAGATTAAGTTGAAATACATTGAGTATTTTGAATTTATTAAAAAGTATTTTAGTATGCAAAACCGATCCACATTTCCAATAATTCTTACAACGTGTTTTTGTTTATTTAGAAGCTTTATATTTTAAGATACATTAATACTGCACCAAGCAACGTTGGAGTAATTTAAATAGCAATGATTAAAAAAAAAGCAAACGAAATTCAAAAAATTAATTTTGCTCAGCAACTGTTTAGCTCTGTATAATAGGCCTATATTTTTTTAAGATTTTATTTTTGACTTAACGTATGTATTCCTTCCACGTTATATTTTCCTGTAAACTACACTCAAAAACAACAAATAATGCTCTCTTTTGACATAAAAATTATTAATAAAAAGATTACGAAGTTTTAAGGAAATGTTAACTTAGGTATTAATTAGTTTCAATTAAAAAAATATATAAATCATAATAGAGTGCTTGCTAAATTGAATAACAACTTGCAAAGTTAAAGTTCAAGACGATGCGTTTTCGCGTGCTGCAGCCATTTCAGTGCATAAACATTTAAAAACATTTTAATGCAAGTTCTTCGCTCCAATATAAGGACACTCGATGAAAATAAAGTGTTTATTTCACAATTAATTATTGCTTCTACTAAAAACTAAATGAGAATAGCTCTATACAGTCAATTTACAATGAGTGAAAAGATTTTAATTCGTTTTTAAATCGTTAAAAACTACGGAATGCGGTGTTAATTTAATAAAAATAAAAAACAAATCAAATAGGCTTCACATATTGTTTATATAAATAGCTTCTTGTAAACATCATCAATATGTGCGAGGTGGGCATTTGTCGTATTTGCCAAGACATTGTCCGAGACCTTTGTAGCCAGCTTTGGAACAGAAAACCAATCCGTATGGACAAGGAAAACATACGGGATTTTTGTTAGCACAAGCTACGTAACCAGATCTTGGCTTGTCATTGATAGCGTAGTTGTTATCAGCGCGATATATGCAGTCGTTAGTGACGTCAACACCTGAATTAATATAAAAACAAAATAAATACGTTAAGTTTGCATTCCTGACTCAACAACAACAACAACAACAACAACAACAACAACAACAACAACAACAACAACAATAACAACAACAACAACAAAAAGATATAAAAGTTTGAGGTAACCAGTTTTGTTTAAACAAAATAGCTCGTCTAAAAGTTTATAAAAAATGTCTCGCCTTACCTAAGCAATAAACTTTCTTTAGTTTGTAACCATTCTTAGGATGATACTCGTTATTAGATCCGTATTGACTTTCGTATCCGCTCTCAGGTTCATATTCTTTATGAGGTTCAATATGATCATCTGATTGCTATCGCTTGTTGGCGGTGGCTGCCAAAATGACAGAGGCAATCAAAATGACTTTTGTGAACATTTTTCTATTTGCTGTTTTATAATGTAGCAACGAATATTTTAACTCACAACACTGTTTGCGCTGAATACGGTTTTCAAAGGAAAACTTCTCGTATTTATGTAGTCCCATTGGATGGGAAACCAATGTAATTGGTTGACTAATTATTCCATTAAAATGTTGGTAACTATTCGCTTTGAAAGCGACACACCAAAAAGCACCATAACTAATACGTACTTAAAAGTAACAAGTAAAAACAGTTAAGGCAAGTAGTTTTATGATATGGCTGGAAATTTCAAAAGATATTAGGAATAGGAAAACAGAATAAAAACAAAGGGAAAAAACGAAAATGAAAAATAAAATATTAAATTTCAAAAACTGAAACCGATTACCAGTACGTATCAAAAAATTATGCAACTGTTTTATTGCTTACTCTCGAGTTTTTAAAACAAGAGAGGGGGAGGGGGTTGGAAAGAAAAGCGGGAATTTAGTTTTTTAGTTAATTTTAGTGCAGATCATTTAAACGAAGTGAGAAGAGACTCAATAAAAGGGTGGGTCAAAAGTTTTACAATATAGAACACGAACAAAACAATTTAATTTTAGTGTGGCTTGCATTCAAATGCGCATTTTTTAACTAGTGTTTCGTCAGAGTTTTAACAAAATTTAATATGCTTACAGAAGTTTTATACTACGTTGAGAAATAAACAAAAACACTTATTTTATTTATATACCGAGATTTTTTTTGTAGATACGAGATTTTTTAAATGTCCACCATTTTTAAAGCCTGATTACACTGATAGGTTTAGTTCTAATTAGTGACAGATTTTTGCTGATTTTATTTTTATTCAGTTGTAAGTTGTTATTGTTGTTTTTTGTTGTTGTTGTTGTTTTTTGTTGATAACAAACAAAAAACTAATAAAAGCACGAGGGGTGGGAGAGGTGGGGAAAAAGGGTCTTAACAAATTTGGGCTGGGAGCATAAATCAATAAACTTCCCCTCATAAATCAATAAGCTTCCCCTCCCCCCATGCATTAAGCACCTAAGCAAACCGATCGCTAACCGATCAAACTAAAACAAAGCTATTGTATGATCTTTGTTATGCGTATCGTAGCATAAAAAAAGTTTAATCATCAGGTTTGCTAGAACATTGCTCTTCCAAAAATGAACGGCTTCAAATGTTAGAGCGAACGGAAATGTTTGTTAAACAAATTAAAAAATTAATTTTAATTTTTTAATTTATTTGTTTATGTTAACATATCATATATACGATGATAATATTTTTTGTTGTTTTCATATTTATGGACATTTTATTATATATAAACCATATGCCTACATTTGCAAGCTCTTTGTTCACTGTTGCAAATAATATAATAATATCTTTATTACAATAAAACACGTTATTATCGTCTGGAGCTATAATTGAATTTAAGATATTAGAAAATTTACTCAAGTCAGTTATATAAATGAACAAAGCCGTTGAACTGATATCACGCGTAATTAATGAACAGATTTGTAATATCTAAACTGTAATTTCAAAATTTTTAAAATCTGTCATTTCAAAATTTCTAAAATCTGTAATTTCAAAATCTTTAAAGTCTGTAATTTCAAAATTTTAAAATCTGTAATTTCAAAATTTTTAGACCTCAGAAACTATTTTCATATCCATTTTTAATTTTTAAACTTTTATGTTTTTATAAATATTATATATATATATATATATATATATATATATATATATATATATATATATATATATATATATATATATGGGTATGTAATTGCAGCACTTTTACATTAACGATCTTACTAAAAAAATTGCTTTCTCAATTATCTTTAGAGTTATGCGTTAATAATCTTCACAATGATCTACAAACGGTCTCAAACACATTTTGATATGTTAAATTTTATTTAACATATCAAAATGTGTAGCTATGCATTATAGCCACAATAAAAAAAAACAATTTATATAATTTAAACAGTATTTGTTTAACGGAGTCAGATACAAAAAGAGGTATTGGAGTTTTTCTTAAATACAAACATAAAACGGAAAAATCAAGTGATTAATGCTTCTAACAAAGCAAATCAAATGCTTGGTCGTATCAAATCATTTGTTTGTTTTGATTACTTCGTTCGCTTTATATTACTTTTATTCGGCCATTACTAGAACTTGCAGTTCAGGTATGGTCTTCATTTCTTAAATCGGATTGGGACTATATCGAAAGAATCCAGCTCAAAGCTCACTAAACTAGTATCATCAATAAGAATTCTTTTCTATACAAAAGAACTCGAAGAATTGAACCTAACTTCACTAGAGGAAAGGAGACAAAGAATTAGAAAAAGGCATTCGTTTTTCAATCGCTAACAATCATACGAAAGGTCACTGCTTTAAATATTTCAAGGAAATGACAAAACATAAGTACAGAGTAAACTTTTTTAATCGAGTAGCGAGTTTATGGAACTCTCTACCAGAAGAAGTTGTTAATTCGCCTTCAGTCAAAAGCTTTCAAGCAGCAATTGATTGCTGGATGAGCAGCAATCGATCATTTCGGCTGTCAAAGTGTGCCTGATAACACACTCACTGGCTCTGCCAGCTACAGGGTTTACTACTAACTATATATATTTAGTATATATTATGATATATATAAGAAAAATTATAAAACGCTCACAATTTCGCAGTCAATAGGATTTTATTATAAGGTAAACTATATAATATTTAAAGGTTTTAATTTATTTTGGTTGGTGTTTGAAATATATAAGCCCCCGATAAATCTATTTTAAAATGTTTTAATTCCAGGCAGCTTTCAAAAAAGCTGATTCAATCAACAGCAGTAAAATATCAGAGTATTAATAGTGTTATGTTGCGCATGGATGGTGTCCCACATAGATGGTGTCCTTAGATGGTGTCCATAGATGGTGATGGTGTCCCACATAAGGAACCTTTTGTTACGGGTAATTACCAGGTAATAGCAATATAATTATAATATATTTCTCAAATATAAACGAGATATCATGAAAAACTACATGCAGCTGTATTAAACTAATATATTAAAATGTTTTAAATACAACATTAGTGTTCTATATGAAAATGTTTTTCATCAGCGTTCTGCTATGAAAATTTTTAAATAATAAATTATACTTTATAGCATTAGCGTTCTATGAATTAACAATTAAAAACTAGTTAAAATTACTAATATAAAGTCTTAAAAAACCTAAAGCGAAGGTTAACCTAAAATGACCTTAACATGAAGTCTAATCTAAAAAAAATCTAACATGAAGTCGGACAAAAGCGAATATTTTTAATAAAATGAAATTAAAAAAAAAAAAAAAATTATATTAGCTAATTGTGATAATAAATTAAATATTGTATAGCATAATAATTATAATAATAATGAAAAACAAAAAAACTAACAAACTGCACGATAAAAAACATGCTAGAAATTGGAAACTGGTATAAATAGCATATTTATTATTTATTAGGCATTGACTTAATTAGTTAGTTTGCTTGATCTTTTTAATAACCCCCAGGCAATCCACCTTTTCGAGGATCAGAAGCCGCATAAATTTTTCCTTTGTCCTTGTAAATGGCTTGCACAACATTATACAAACCAGATTTAGACTTATGACCAAGTTCTCGTAATCCATCAAGCAAGTGTTTAGGAGGTGTGTCGTACAAAATTTCGTTGGGAACACCTTGGTCATGTAACCTAAAGCCATCTACCGCAAAACCCAGCTCTTGATTAAAGAATATTTTTCGTAGCAATACCTAAATACATAGTGCTGCATACTATTACAATCTTTTATGCACTATATTATATACAATTATTATATTATATATAAAGCTAAATTAAACTTTTTAAATAAAAATTCAAAACAATTAAAAAAATAAATAATTTTTAAGTAAAAATTCAAATGGAATTTAAGAATAAAGTGTTGTTTACAAGTTTATAAAATGTAAAGTAATTTTTATAACTTTCTAAAATGTAAACTTACATGATTTTAAAATAACTAGTTTAACCACAAAATTATATTCGTAACTTTTGTAAATATAAAATTCTCATTTTATGACAAATTTTTATTTAAAAAAATCTTAGTTCAAATGATATCTTGTAGTAAAAAAGATAAAAATGTAAACTTTATGTTAAAAAAAAAATTAGCTTTTAAAAACTTATTTTTTATAGCTTTGCCCATCTATTGGTATTGTTGTTATTGTTATTGTACTGTTATTAAAAGAGATGAAGATGAAGAGATAAGACATGTCAAGACCAGATACAATGAAATTAACTTTGATAATATAATAAAATTTCTAAAAATAGGGAAGAGGGGGGCAACTTTACAATAGGGAAGAGGGGGGCAATAGGGAAGAGAGCACCTATGAACACTTTTTATACTTTTTATAATAAATCAAAAAAAAAATTATTTTAACAACTTTTTTTGTTTTGAACAGTTAAAATAATCATTAAGGAAAGAAATTACTTTATTTGTATAAATTGTAAGTCAAAAATTAAGTCAGTATTCTAGTTCTAGTAAGGTGCACGAAAATGTTCACACCTGCCCCAGCCTGGGGCAGTTTTGAATTTGCATGGGGCAGCTTTGAATTTCTTCTGGCAAATTTAAATAATTAGTGATTAAATTACTTTTTTTTAAATAGAGCTGATTTATTTAAATTTCATTATGTATCAGTTTCAAAAAAGTTAAGATCAACATAAATTAAAGTTAAGAAAAGTTATTAACAACATAATAAAGAATATATATATATATATATATATATATATATATATATATATATATATATATATATATATATATATATATATATATATATATATACTTATATATATATATGCGTATATATATATATATATATATATATATATATATATATATATGTGTATATATATATGTATATATATATATGTATATATATATGTATATATATATATATAAATATATATATATATATATATATATATATATATATATATATATATATATATATATATATATATATATATATATATATATATATATATATATTTAAAATACTCGTTACAAGCAACAAAATCTGAAAATCAGAAATCAAAATAGTTAAAAGTTACAATAACTCAACATAGATTAAAGTATTTTTCGTTTTATTTTTGAGGAATTAGATCTAATTTTAGAAGTTTTTTGTTTTAAAATTCCTAATGAGGTTTCAATTTTTTTCTTGCACTTTAGCACTTTGAAAGTTGTCATTGCAAAAAGCAGGACAGGAAAAAGGATATATTCCAGATGTGGAAAAACTGCAACAATATTCCTGGCAATATATGTTGTAGTATATGCTGGTGTCACTATGCCAACTAAATTGTGTATTATTGTTTTCCCCGGATTGCGTACAAGCCAATCATTCTGAGAAATAGACAGTTTTTGCTTGAAAGGACCATTAACTGCCACATCCAAAGGTTGCATTCTGTGTGTGCAGTGAGGAGGAAATGTTAAAACCACCATTCCATTTTCAAAACAAAAATTGATGGCATCTAATGTACAATGGCTTTCTTGATTATCCATTAAGAATAAAACAGGATCCTCTTTCGAACATCTGACTAGTTTTATATGTTCTAGAACCTTTAAAAACAATAGCCCCTGTCATCTGGCCACTTTTTGGACTGTTTGCAAAACTAATACAAACAGGAGGTCCTCTTTTTATCATGGTGTCATGAAACCGTGCTCTTTAAAATATGAAAACAGGTGGAATGAAATTTCCTATGGCGTTTCCTATACCACACATAGTAATTAATTGTCCACATTCAGCAGATACACACTGTCCAACTTGTTTTGCTCCATGTGATGCTATAACATGGGGTACTTGTACTACTGTCATAATGTTGCTTTCATTGATATTAAAATTCTATCAGGAGTGAAATGATGTTTTTTCATAGTTATCAAAAAACTGATTTACATTGTGTTCATTAAAACTCGTTGAGCAAGACAAACTCATATTTTCAGGTTTTCGGAGTGAAAGTTCTTGGTTGCGTTTCATGAAGCCTTTCAACCACTCTATACCAGCTTGTTTATTTTCTATCCATTTACTTGAACATTTGCAAAGCTTGATTGCATAATGAAATGCTAATTCTTTTGTTTGTTTATATGTCAACCCATAGTTCATTTTAGAGCTTTTTATTAGATAGTCTTTCAACATTATTTTGTCATCTTCATTAAACTTGTGCGACTGTATATTTACTTGTAAAATCTAACTTGGTCTTGGATAATGAATTTTTATATTTCTGTAATGTAAAGTATTACGTTTTAAATTATAGGTTATAACAGCTTCGCTTTAAAGGTGTCCCGCTCTTTTTTTTTAAAACTGCCCCAATGGCGTCTTAGAGAGTAAATGACTATTTATGGAAACAAAATAACATTTTTAAATGAAATTTTTTGCTTCATTGTAAATAGAATAAAATATTTTATATAAAAAATAACATTAAGTTCACCACTTGTTAAAAATATGGTCAGGTAAGTCTTACAACTTTTTATCTAAATGTTTGAAATTTGTACTCGAAAACAAAAAAATCGTCTCGTTTTTCCATTTTATATCAAACGGCAACATATTCAAGTGACAGATGCGAGGATAAGTATTGCCTTCATAACATAATTAACTATACTTAATCTAAATATATGCGCTGTTCACAAATGCATTTTTTCAAAGTTGCCCCCATTCAAAGCTGCCCCCGTTCAAAGCTGCCCCCTTCTTCCCTAAAACATTTTGTTTATTAAGAATTTTTTTAGCTTTTTTATTAGCAAATATAAAAAAATATATTTATTTTGAATATTTAAAAAATACAAGTGCAACCTAAAAAAATAAAAAGCGTTTTTAAAAGGCTCTACAATCTAAAAAACTAACATTCATATAATGATCAACTTTGAAATCAGTAAACGCCACACGTTATATTGGCGTAATATTATTATTTTTAGAGTCACATCTAAAAGCTTAAAGTGAAGCTCATAAAGCAGTGGTGAACGAATTAATGTGCAGTACATAAATTTTCAACCCCTAAAATTATTGTAATGCATTTAATATCAAAATATATTATATTTAATATAAATATATTTATATAACGCTTTTATATGTTTATATGTTATATCTTTTTAAAATAAACTTAAATGACATAAAATTTGAAGATTATTTAAAGTTTATACCCTTTTTATTTTGAAGCCATTAGTGGCATTGACACCTAGTATGTCCATATGTGGTACATGGTCAAACTAAACATAACTTAACTGAAAAATAACATAAAATAATATTGATTACTGCAATAACTAAAGACATTAGTGAATGAGGGTGTTATGTCGCAAAAAACTTTCCACTATTTTACGTAAAGATTTTAAGTGACATTCTTTCACATGAAATTAATAACACTGCACAAAAATGTGCTAAAACATTTTTACAACTGATGAAGGAGCTGTGTAACACATTAATTCACTTGTTTCATTTTTTTTGTACTTTTAATACTAGGCTTTATATACAGAATCAGCAAAGTTAATATAACACTTAAACTGCTTTTTTACCCTCAATATAGCACCATTATGTCAGAATTGAGCAAACATAACAGATAAAAATAACACCAAATATAACGTCAATATAATGGTAATCTAGCACTATATTCACTAAAATCTGGCATATTTTTTTAATTATTATTTTGAAGTATAATAAATAAAAATTTTTTTTTTAATGTATAAAATTTCAAATTACAATCAGAGTTTTTTTTTACATTTTTATCTTAATTTTTATCCCATAAATTTACAAGACCAATAACTTATTACAACCTTAATTATAATTTATTACAATAAAGTTATTACAACAAAAATTTAATTAAAAAAAAAATTGAAAAGAACTTTTAGCTGTACCTGCAATACTGCAGAAATTATTTGAGATCCACCAGATGCCCCTACAACCATCTTTACATCACCATTACCATCTGTAATAATAGATGGAGACATTGAAGAAAGAGGACGCTTACCTGGATGAATAAAATTAGCTGCAGAAGGTGGATAACCATATGCATTTGGCACCCCTGGTGTGGAAAAGTCATCCATTTCATTGTTATACAAAATACCTGTAATGTTAGAGAGCAACAATGACCCAAAGCTGCATAAAAAAAAAGAAAAATTAAAATTGCCTTAACAACAATTAAAACTTGTTTTTTATAAAAAAAATTTAAGTTTTGTTATAAAAAACAGAAAGAAAAAAAAAATTATTTAGATAATTAAAGCTAAGACTACTGTTTACTATGACTACTAACACTGCTGTTGGTGCTGCAGCCGGTATTGCTACTACTACTACTCCTACTCTTACTACTACTACTACTACTACTACTACTACTACTACTACTACTACTACTACTACTACTACTACTACTACTACTCCTGCTGCTGCTGCTGCTGCTGCTGCTGCTGCTGCTACTAATACTACTACTTTTAAAAACACTCTAATATAGACATTTAAACTTTAAATAACTTTAAAGAAATTGTAGGATAGAACAACTAATTTAAATTATTTAGTATAATGCCATAATTGATTCAAATTTCCAATAATTGATGTGAAAATCATTTGATCTCAAGATAAAATTAATTAAATAAGTTAAAAGTTAAAATCTCATTTTTACATTCTTCAGTTATTTCATCAGGCTGTAAAAACTTTTTTTTTAATTTATACATTCTTCTTTAAAAAATTTTATTTATCTTTTGTTTAAAGGAACTATTTGATCAAGGTTACCTATGAATTGGTAATCTTGATCAAATTCTACCAGGTTTCAATATATAGTATCAACTGTAATGTTTTTTCTTTTTGTTTATTAATATACCATATATGTAAAAAATTGTTTGTGACTGAATTTATATACATATAATTGTTTTGAATTGCTTCTAGTCGATGACTTCTTGACAACCTTTAGTGAGATTTTGATGTTTTATTCTAGTTTAAAGATTATTTTAGTATCTTCAAAACTATTTGTATTCAAGTAATTATTACTTTCAACATATTTATTTCTTTTAACTTCTTTAACATCACCATAGTCTATTATTTATTTATCTTTTTCACATTTTTTCACAAACACAATTATAATTGTTGTTTTTTATATAAAACAAAGAAGAGAGTTACAGAACGTGGTTGACAGAAGACTTGAAAGTGGTTGATAGAAGAACAAGAAAGTGGTTGACAGAAGAACAAGAAAGTGGTTGACAGAAGAATAAGAAAGTGGTTGACAGAAGAACAAGAAAGTGGTTGACAGAAGAACAAGAAAGTGGTCGACAGAAGAACAAGAAAGTGGTTAACAGAAGAATAAGATAGTGGTTGACAGAAGACTTGAATTGCAACTAATAATTGTATGAGCCAAGAAAACAGGAAAAATTCTAAAGCAGTAATACTTCAGGAAAAAATTTAATTTTTTAAAGCATGTAGGAAATGTTGCAGTAAAGGATGAAAGTTTAATGATGAGTCATGATGAGTCAGGGGAGATTTTAAGTTGATAAAACAAGTGATGATTGCTCATATAAGCAGCAACAATAATAGTATTTGTACAAAAGACAAAAAGATCCCCATCTTCTAAAACATCCATTTAAAAATACTTTTTTTTTTAATCACTTCTACAATCATTTGAAAACACATACACAATAAATCTCCAGACAAGCCTCAACACAATTCGACTCTCCTAAAAAATACTCATTTTAATTTTGGTCAGAATTCAGAATATTGAGGTAAAAGAATTAAGCCATGAAACAGAGGATTGTGGACAGCGTTCCCACTGGCTGGGTTTAAACGTAGGAGAGTGTCAAAAAATTCTTATATAAATTAACTTCAGCACATTAACTTAAATAAGATTTTTTTGGCATTCTCCTATAAAAAAATCCAGGCGGTGGCAACGCTGATTGTTGTAAGATTTTTTTTTAACTGGTTTTTATAATTTAGAAGATATGAATCAAGCCAGATTGATTTTATTTAAACAAATGATTTAGATTAAAAATACATTTGATTGAGTATTAAAACTTATTTTTCTGTAAAAAAACACATGAAAAGAATAAATTTTTTTAAATTAAGTTTATTTAATATTTTCCTTTTTTATATTTCAAAATGTAAATGTAAACAAGAAGGGGCAGGGTTAAGTAAAAAAAAGCAAGATTGCGCCATTAAAATGATTATAAACAACTTATCTCATTCAAATGCAGAGAAATGTCAAATTGATAATGATGATAATTATAAATTTTATAATATTAATTTTTAACATAAAAATACAAATTTAACATTTACAACAAAAAATATAAACAAATTAAAGGATTACTGAAAAAAAAAACAAAAAAAAAAAACAAAAAAAAAAAAAACAAGAATAAGAACTAACAGATCACATATAAAAAATAAGATATATAAAAAAAATTACGAAGTGTTTATTGTATTTGTGCATGATACAGCGTCCCCATTTTCTGCAAGCACTGATAAATGAGTTGTTCCAAAGTCATCTTTACCAAAAGATCCACCATAATAAGATGGCGGATGAGTGCTGTTTAACCAAATTTTATTTTGACGAATATTTGAAGCTATTGTAGAGTTTAACATCAATGATAAAACCTATCAAATTTTTAAACATTTAAAAAATATATAATAGAACCTATCACATACTTTAAACATTTAAAAAATATAAAATAGAACCTATCAAATCTTTAAACATTTAAAAAATATATAATAGAACCTATCACATTTTTTAAACATTTAAAAAATAGAACCTATCAAATTTTTAAACATTTAAAAAATATATATTAGAACCTATCACATTTTTTAAACATTTAAAAAATAGAACCTATCAAATTTTTAAACATTTAAAAAATATATAATAGAACCTATCAAATTTTTAAACAGTTAAAAAATATATAATAGAATATATCGAACTTTTAAACATTTTAAAAATTTTGAAAAAAGTTTTCCGAAAACTGAAAAAAAAGTTGATAATAAAACTAATTATTAGCAGAGAAAGAGTATTTCACTTTTTCTTTTCATTTCTATTATTAAATTTTAATAGTTTATTTTTTATGCACTTTTTATAAATTGAAAAATTTACATTAAAATTTTTTTTTATAATTACAAGACTAAAGAGTCTCTAAAGGAGTTTTGATTTAATTAAAAAGATCAACAGAAAAAAATCTACAGCATATGCACTAAGTATGTTACACTGCAGAATCATACTATGGTAATAATAGTTACGCTTGTTTACAAGCAAATAACTTAATTCTGTAACATTTTATAAATTTATTTAAAAATTTATTTCAATAAAATCAATAGTAAAACAAAAACACAAACTTTGGTAATATTTTCTGTGGGTAAAAAATCTGCATCACCAAGTAAACCTCGTTGAGCATAACCGAATTTCATTGACTCAATCAACTTGTGGTAAAAAGCAGTCTGACTTTCATGATTTGAAAAATCCACCTTTGATAAGTCATAACCTGTTATAATTGTAAAATATTATTTAAAACTTGCAAAAATATAAATAAAAAACATAAATGGTAAATAATAATAAAAAAAAAAGATTAAAAATAAATTGAATAGCTAACAATCAGAAACTTAATACTCTGTGTTTTTCATATGCTGCGGTTATCTTTTGTAATTAATTTAATAATTAACTTTGTAATTAATTTAAATTGATGAATTCTAAAGTTCAATTGTCCAATATTTAGTAAATGCTCAATTTCATTTTCTATTTAACGGGTCCCTAATATTATTTAAAAAAAGTTCTTTAAAAATAAGCCAACATGGTACTCAAATAAAGCAAAGCATTAAGAAAATCCAAAAAAACATCATTTTTGAAAAAAAAATTTTTAATATTGAAAAAAAGATCCCAAAAACTTATAAAATTTCTTATTCTAAAATCTAAAAAAACAAATATTGGATAAAAATTGAGCTTAAATTAGGCTTAAATTAATCACAATAGATAACCACAGCACATGAAAAACACTACGTTGTAATTTTTTGTAAATTTGAAATGTATATATATGCGTTGCTACAAGACAAACTTATATATACACTGCTCGACATAATGATAAGACACCCCAAAACGATTTATAAAACTGTACTATACATTTATATTTAAAAACTAATTTTTATTGTAAATGAAAGCAAAGGGTTTACAACACTAAACAACATTTTAACAAATTTATTTTTAATGTAACTCACGTTTTATAAAAAAAAACCTGTTTTTTCAGTGCGACAAAATTATAAGACAACTTTACAAAAGACATTTTATTTGCAAACCGCAGTTGTGGGCAATTAAGAATATTTATTTGATGTAAAAACCACTGACGAATATATAACTGTAAACTTTTGTGAACTGTCAAAACTTTAGTTTAGGTTATTTTTTTATTAAGTATAAAATAACAAATTAATTAATAATGGGTCATGCTGCACCGTTGAGTTCAGATGAAAAAAAAGTGCTCTTTGACTTATCGAAAATGGGTCACTCCGTTAGTTACATGGCTAGAGCTATTGGATGCAGCCAAACTGTGATTAAAAACTACGTTAATAGTCCTCATATGTATCAGGCTTGGTCGTGAAGCGGGAGCGATCGCTCTCGAATACTGACCACGGAAATTATATTTAGTTGCAAAAAACTGGCCAGGTTTTTTAGTTGTTTTGAGAACATTTAAGTTTATGTACGAAACAAAAAACTTTTGTTTTACGGACATACATGGAAACATAAAAAACTTGAATGTTCTCAAAACATCTGGTGTTTTGAGAACATTCAAGAACAAAAAAAATATTTGCGAACACTAAAAACCCGCTAAATTAACGAACAAACTAATTCTATTGGTTTAAAAAATATGCTGGCTAAGCGAAATAAAGCTCTAGAGTATTCTGTTAAAAGGTTTTAGAAATTGTATTATTTACGATTTGTTATGTTTTGAGGTTTCTAGCATAAATTATTTTTAGAATATATATTATTTGTTTACAAAAATAAATGTTTTAAATATATATTAATTAAATTGTCAAAATTTTCAAAAATTTATTATAAATTATAGATTTTATTAGTATATTCAAATTTTTTATTAAAAAAATATGTATTCTTTATGCAAATGTAATTTTGTGTATCTGTTTTTTATCGTAATGTATCTATAGTATAGTATAGTATGTATATAAAGCAATTTTTATGATTTAAACAAAGACTTACAAAAATAATTGCTTTTTTAATGAAGTTATAATCATTAAAGGTAATAAAACTAATTATGTAATTAACATATAAGAAGTTTCTGGTTACTAAAACACAAACAACGCATACAAAGTAATTCGTGGATGAACAAGCACCGCGTCTGAGGTCACAACAGAACACAAAAATATATAGCAAATAATTAGATATAAAGAAAAGTTTCTAGATATTGGTTTACTAACTCTAATTATTTTCGCTTAAATTGCCATTCTTAAAACTCGTTATACTTTTTTCTGCTTTAAATACTAATTAATATTAAAAAGCCTACTCACTAAACATCATCAGCGATATTGTGAAGCAGTTTCGCATCCTTGTCATAAAGTATTTTTAACCTTTTTAGTTGATTTCTATCTTGTTAATTTAATTTCTATAGTAATTCAATAATTTAATTATTTCATTTGTTTATCTTACTAAGAAGAATTGCTTCAAATATGTTAAAATTTTTTAGACTACGCGAAACATAAAATAGGAATTAAAAAAATTAACTTTTTTATTTATAAAATAATTTAGCTTAAGGTGGATCCATGGTAAAAAACTAAAATCTTTAATACTCTTGATTTTAATTTTTTTAAATTAAAATATGAACAAAAATATAACTGGAAAAAAAAAATTTCTTCAAAAAATAATAAAAAGCTATTTTAACATGCTGAGTCAGCATAAAAATACACAAAAAGTGAGTTATGTAAAACAACTGTTGCTTAAAAAGTACTTATGCAGTCAAGTTAAAACTTTTACAATTTAGAGAAAACATATTGATAAAGTGCCTGAACTAGGATTATTTTATATTTTTATGTACTTTCAAAATGGCTGCTATAATAGTAAATATTCCAAATATTTGATTAAAAATTGATGGGGAAATATAAATTTTTCAATAAAAAAAATAATTATGTTGAAGATCCTAGCTCAGGCACTATTTTAAAGTATAATAAACAACTCCTGAAAATTTGAACATTTAACTATATGCGGATCTAGAGCTAGAGTTGTTCTAAGATTACTACATTCAAAAATACAAAAAATGCAGAAAAATGCAAAAGAAATTTAGTATTTAAAAACTTCCTGCAGAATATGACTCTTAATCTTCAGTTAACAATTTTAAAATGTTAAGATGTTTAAATAACTTTTCATATCCTAACAATCTATCATTGTACGTTAAAACAGCTGATGCTAAACAAATTTCTAATGTTTGTTTTGAAACAAAATTGTTCTTTGGGCATTTTTTCCATATAATTTGGATAAAAGCTTCATTAGGATTTTGAGTTGTACCATCTAAGCACTTCAACAACAAATCATCTGCAGACTAAGATCAATAAATATTGGTTGCACTATCTTCTTTATAATAAGAGACAAACTAGTACAGGGTTTATATGTTTTTGACCAGTAATTAAACCTCTCTGCCATTTGCACCAACTACTTAAACTGCGAGGACAAAGTTTATGCCCTTCAACACTGTTAGGAATGTCGCTGCAATGTGGCATTGCAGCGACATTCCTAATTTTATTTCGATATTTCATTCGATTAATTTTCTTATTTTATTTCTTTTGTAAGCCATTTATACTGTTCAACTAACAAAATATTTTCAGTCGGGTTTTTAAATATGCTAATTTAATAGTTTTGAAAAAACTAACTCAATAACTCTAACAACTCACTCACACAAGATTAAATAGTTTAAGTAATTTACAAATAAAACAATTGAAATACAAACAACAGAACAGTTTAAAGCATAGTATATATATTTTAAGTAGCACAAACTTTAATTACTTTGATTTTGTAGAAGATAAAAGATAAAAATTGACAAACTGTTTTGGTTGCTATGCGCGTTGCTATGAACAGCAATTAAGATAAGATGACAAATTTATTACTTTAAACAGTGTTTTAATGTAAACAATCTATAAAAACCACTTTCCTCTGAAAGGCAGGTAGTTTATCTAATAAATATAATTAAAAAAAAAAATTTCATTTTTTTGCATTTTTTTTACCATGGATCCACCTTAAATAAAACTAAAACTTGCAAACTTTGTTAAATAAAGAATATTTGTTTCCTTTTTAAATAATTGTAAGATGTTACTTTATATAAAAAACATTGCTTAATTTTATAAAAAAATTTATAAAAGAGTGATGTTTCTAAAATATTTGTTCTAAACGTAATTTATTTATCTTTAAGTTTTTTCGCATTTAAAGATATTTTAATTTGCCTAATTTTTCTTTTTTTGTAATTGTCTCTCATTGGTCCAATTAATTTTTTGCTCTTTTTTTTTTTTTTGCTTTTTAAAATGTTCTCAAAACAACTAAAAAATCTGGTCTTTATGTGGTCAGCAATCGAGAGCGATCGCTCCCGCTTTCCGACCAAGGCTAATGAATGGAGTAAAAAAACCTGACGTCTATCAACATTAAGTGACCTTAATAGACGAAACTTGTTGAGACAAATTCTTCATTAACTGCAAGTCAAATTGCTGCAGAAGCAGGTGCGATTGCTAACTTACGTACAATTCAGTGAGTTATTCATAATGCTTTTCACCTTTCACGCAAAAAACTTCAGTAAAAACATTCTTTTACAACAAGTCACATAAATAATCGAATAACTTTTGCAAAGGACCACGTAACATGGAAAGAAGAGTGGCAACAAGTAGTATTTTCTGACGAAAAACGATTTTGTCTTGATGTGGCGGATAGATGAAATTATTATTTTCACGATTTGTGTAAATAACCAGTAACACAGCAACGATGTCAAATGGGTGGTGGTGGTGCAATGATTTGGTGTGAGATTGGGCATCATGATAAATCAAAAGTTTATTTTATTGATGGAAAAATGAAGGCTAAAAATTATCTTTTAAATGTGAAGCATCAGTAATAGGTGGTGAAAATTTTGTTTTTCAACAAGATAATGCTAGCAATCATAAGCTAAGATAGTAAAGGAATATTTCAATAGCAGTAAAATTGAAACATTGAAGTGGCCAGCTAGATCTCCAGACCTGAACATTATTAAGAATGCTTGGGCACAGCTGTCACATATAGTGTTTGAAGGTGGTAAACAATTTAGTTCACTAGCTGACTTGAAATCATCCATCACATCTGTATAGGATGCAATTGACATTTCGTACATAAAAAAAGTTGTATGATTCTTTGCCTTTGATCGAAGTAATTCAAAAAAATGGTACCCACTATTGATTGTTAAAAATTGAGACGTATTTTTATATAAATAACTATTTATATGAGTTTTTTCCAAAAGTATTATAATTATGTTGCACTAAAAAGTTTTTTTTTAAATAAAATTTAAATTGGTTTAAAATAAATTTTTTTAAATGTTAAAGTCTTTTTGCTCTCATTTACTATAAAAATTTTTAAAAATGTATAGAAGAGTTTTATAAATATTTTTGGGGAGTCTTATCATTATGTCGCGCAGTGTATATATGTGTGTGTGTGTATATATATATATAAATTATATATATATATACACACACACACACATATATATATAAGTTTGTCTTGTAGCTACGCAAAGGTCTCACTACACCATATATTGTAAAATATAGCATTTATTACATGGTGGGTTAGGTGTTTGTTGTGCTAAACAGCTCACACACACACACACACACACACACACATATATATATATATATATATATATATATATATATATATATATATATATATATATATATATATATATATATATATGTTTAAACAATTTTAAAAATGTATTCTACAAAATAGAGTGCTCAATGTTCTTAAGAGAACAGAGCAATTATAAATTAGTAGAAAATCACTTAACAAATTTTTTTCTTCCTTTTACACTGTGTTTCATCAATAAAGACTCGTCAGAAAATTTCTGATTTCTGATGAGTCTTTATTGATGAAACACAGTGTAAAAGGAAAAATTTTTGTAAAGTGATTTTCTACTAATTTATTTATATATATATATATATATATATATATATATATATATATATATATATATATATATATATATATATATATATATATATAAATATATATATATATATATGCGTGTGTATGTATGTATGTATGTATGTATGTATGTATGTATGTATGTATGTATGTATGTATGTATGTATGTATGTATGTATGTATGTATGTATGTATGTACACACACAAACACACATATCCTACATAAAACACAAGCAAGCAAATAAAAAAACTAAACTTTTTTGATTTAAGTTAGTGAAAAATTTTTTTTTTTCTAAAAAAGACTCTTTAAACAATTGATAATATTACATAAAAGACAAAGATTTGTACATTGAATTGCCTGAAAATGAACAAACATGATCTTTTAATGTTAAAAATGTGGTCTTCCAAAACATTAGCAACATTTTTATAACTACTAAAAAAAAACAATTTAAATGTTCATTTTTGCTTTCAGTGTTGTGTTATGAGGAATGACATCTACTTGAAATCACAGTTGTTATTTGGTAACTTTCATAGATCATCCTAGTCATATTATAAAAATTCGGAAAATTGTTTGAATAAAATATCCGGAAAAAATCCAGAATTTCCCTTATTTTCTTTTTAATTTTGCTTTTAGCTAAGTTGTTTTAAATTTTTTTTGACATTTTTTATAATTTTTGTATGAAGGATGAGTAAAAAAGCTTAAAAAACAAATATATTACAAAAATATATACCTCAACATGCATGTATTAAAAATGTTTTGGATATCCGGAAAAACTAAAAGTTAAACAAAATATCCGGAATTCCGGAAATGTCCGGAAAAAGATAATCCCTGAACTTTATAATACTAATGATTTCTATTTTATAACCAATTCTTTTAGGTATTTATAATGGCATTCTTTATAATGGCATAGAACAAGTATTTTAAAAAAAGGTATTGCAGAAACAAGTATTATGAAGTGATTTATCAAAGTATAATTTTAAATCTTGTTTAGATTATATATATATATTATATTATTATAAATATGATATATATTATATTGATTATATATCTGATTTTAAATCCATTTTCAGTTTCTAAAAATACTTTGTTATTACCATCTAAAAACACTTATCAAGACCACTTGTTCACTTAAAGTAGTCATTGAAACATTAAACAAAGGTTTAGAAGAAATTTTTGGTCTTAGCACTTCGATGCTTTAGAATTATAATTTAAATAAATTTTTGGTTCAATTCAATTAACTAAATATTTCTTACCTTTACCCAGTTGCTTCATTAGGTTTTCTCTCCTCTCTGTAATACAACAGATGAGTGCTAATCCTGGTCCAACATTTAAACATCAATCAAAAACTTTGAATGGTCGAGGAAAAGGAACAACCTCTGAGTTGAGTTTTGGTCTTTCTCTTATTTCTTTACTTAATCCCCATGTTAAATTACTCCTAGCTATGTGAGTGTTTCAGTTGCTTTGCTTGCTCAGAATAAATCTCTTAAAAGTTATTGTGGCATTGGATGAATTGTTGAATGTGTTAAATGACTACAAGAACTTTTGGAATAATGGTCGTATCTTGTAATTGTAAGGTATCTTGTAATTGTAAATAGGAAAACCTGAAATGCTCAAAATTTATTTTATAATATTAATAAATATCAGGTTAAAAATCCTGATAGCAATTTGAAGGTAGGTAGATCTAAAAGTAAACATTTGGGTTTAAATACACAAGATGAATGGTTAAGCATGGTGGTGGAAAAGGTGCAATGATTTAGGTTTATTTTACCGGTTTTAGTGAATATTCATAGAATAAATGGCATTGTGTGTCAATTTGATTATTGATGTATTTTAAAGGAAAGATGGTTCATGCCTCTTATATGAAAATTTCAACAAGACAATAAAAAACATGTCAAACAATATTTGTAATTAATCAAATTTAAGTAATAAAGTGGACAGCTCAATCACCTGATTGAACAGCTTAATCACCTGATTGGAGGGCTCAACTACCTGATCTCAAAAAAAGATCAATTTTCTTTTTTTCAAGTGCCCTTTGTGTTTCAGAAAAGCAAAAAGGACACTTCAAAAATGCCAATGAGCTATATAAAGCTACATAAAGCGATATAAACATGGAATGAGATTAGACAAGAGAAAATTGATAAACTCAACAAGTCCAAGAGATGTGTCATGATCCTGAAAAGTAAAGGGTATGCCATAATTTATCGATTTTGAGTAGGTTTTTTAGTAGATTTTAGAAAAAAATTGCTAATATTTTGGAAGACCATACTTTTAAAATGCCAATACATGCAAAACAACACGTTTATTCATTTTCAGATATTATGTACAAATCTTACTTATATGTAAGATGAAATTTTGATTTTTTTCCATTTAAAACCTTTTTTTTTTAAAATTTCAGTATTAAATTGAAGTTGAAAAAATATATTTTTCATTAGATTGCTTATGTTTTGGAGGACAGCTGCATAATAAGAAAAATTTTGATAACTTGATTTTTTTTGTACAGACATCAGACGCATAAAACTTCAAAGAAGACATTCAAAAATCCATAAATGATTACAACTGATTATGATTATTAATTGTTATACTACAATTAATTATCAAATCAATTATGGATTCTTTTTAATGTCATCTTTGACATTTTGTGTAACACTTGTAATAGTTTTATGTAACTTTTACTGCACCTGAAATAATATTTGTAATCATAGCAAGCACAGGACCACCGCTTGGAAGACCCATTGTGTTTAAAGTCAAGTTATCTTTCTGCAATTTGAGGGATAAAATCTCCGGAGTTTTTACTGTGTAATTCTTCAAGTCATCAAGAGTAATAATTCCTAAAATAATCAATAAAACATCTTAGTCAACATATTTTAACAAATTCCATACTTCAACATATTAACAAAGGGTTATTACATGTCAAGTGGACCAAGATTTAAAATGGATTATCTCAGATTTACATTAAATTTTATTGGTTGATTTGTATCAATGAGGAATGCAGGTTTTATTTTTTTTAGCGTAGACAACTCTGGACCTATTTTTGTAAAACATTGACAATTTTTTAGAACCATATTTAATCTAAATGAATAATCTAATCTAATTTTCTAATACTTTAAATGAAACATTTAAAGTAGTAGAAAATAATAGAAAATAATAAAAACAATTGGTAATTGCATCAATTGAGTCAATGTTTATATAGTGAAACTGAAAAAAAAACTGAAAAAAAAAAAAGAAAAAAAAGAAGAGGAGCTGGTTTTTTGTTTTGAACTTTAAAACAAAAATTTTTTTGTGTATTATATTAGGTATCATAGTTCTTCTAAATTTCATTTCTTTTATAGGTAGTCTGATTTCAAAACTTTATATCTGATTTCAAAACTTTACAGCTTAAATTTATTTCTGATTTCAAAACTTTATAGCTGATTTTAAAACTTTGCAGCTTAAATTTATGTCTAATTTCGAAATTTTATAGCTGATTTAGAAAATTTACAACTTAAACTTATGTCTGATTTCGAAACCTTATAGTTTAGCTTTTATATGTGTAAATTAAAAGTTTTCTTTATGCATAAAATGTTTTGCGTCTAAATCAGACACTGGAAATTTTTTTATGATATGGTATTCAGCCTAACAGTTTGGTAAATATCAAATAGGAAAAAAAATAGCTGAATAGACTCAATACCAAATAGTAACTGAATATGTACAACATCTAATTGAAAAAATTTTGCATTTTAATTTTATATTCATCTTTTCACCAAAAATACTTTGTTACTATATTTTTTTAAATAAAAATATCTTTTCTAAAATTAAATATCTTTTATACTCAATGTAATAACAACATTAAAATAAAATGTAATAACAACATTAAAATAAAATAACAATATTAAAATAAAATGTAATAAGAACATTAAAATAAAATAACAACATTAAAATAAAATGTAATAAGAACATTAAAATAAAATGTAATAACAACATTAAAATAAAATAACAACATTAAAATAAAATAACAAAATTAAGATAAAATGTAATAACAACATTAAAATAAAATAACAACATTAAAATAAAATGTAATAACAACATTAAAATAAAATAACAACATTAAAATAAAATGTAATAACAACATTAAAATAAAATAACAACATTAAAATAAAATGTAATAACAACATTAAAATAAAATAACAACATTAAAATAAAATGTAATAACAACATTAAAATAAAATAACAACATTAAAATAAAATGTAATAACAACATTAAAATCAAATGAAATAACAACATTAAATTGATTAATTTAACTAAAAAATTTCATTGTTTTGTTAAACAAAGGTAAAAGTCTTAAGTAAATTTTTTTTTTCTAAATTAGGACAGATATAGGTTAGGACAGACAACTAGAGGTAATAACAGCTATAGCTATTCAAGAGCTGAGAGTAATTTAAGATCTAGCTCAAAGACACTCATAATTTTATTTTTCCACTTTTTTTTTCCCTCTTAAATTTACCTTAAAAGTCAATAGAATCTATTGATTCTATTGACTTTTTTTAATGATAAAACCTAATGATTTTTTGATAAAACTTTATTATTAAAAATGTTTTTAATAAAGAAGTTTTATCTAAAGTTTTTGGTAATTTAATGTGAAGACAAAATTTTATAAGTATAAGCTATTTTTAAAACTAACTTAATTCATAATAAATTAAGTTAACTTAATTTATAACAAATTAAGTTAACTTAATTTATAATAAATTAAGTTAACTTAATTCATAATAAATTAAGTTAACTTAATTCATAATAAATTAAGTTAACTTACTTGCATCGAAGTAGTAAACTTTTAAAAATTAGTCAATAAATGTAAAAACTGAAAAAATACATTTTATCACTTCTGAAACTAGTTTTGCATATTAATCTTACAAAAATTAACTTTCAAAACGTATTATTTTTTAGATTTTTAGGCTGCCATTATAGATAAAAAATGGCTTTAAAAATTCAATGGTAATATTCTACAAAAGTCCAGAGTTGCTTATAAAAGTATGAAAAGGTCGTTAAAGTTTTTTTTTTTTTAAAGAATATTTTTAAAGTAAATAAAATAACATGTTTATGCTAAAAAGAATTAAATTTAATTTAATTAAGAGTTGTATTTTTGAGAAAAATCAGAAACTTATAATGACCTATCTCATAAACCACAAAAGATTTTCTCATTGATATAAATTCATCAACTCGCAAAGTTAAATATGAGGAGTTTTTTTTTTTTTTTTTTAATTTCAGGGTTAAATATGAGGAGTTTTTTTTTTTTTTTTTTAATTTCAATCCTGTAATTTGGATAACTTTTTAAGATAAATATTTATAGAAAAATACAAAACACTACAAATTATAACTCATTTCTAACAAAATAAATAATATATAATTCTTTATAAGATAATATTTTATTTATATTATTTATTACCATTTTGAATATCTTTAACAATCTGTTTAGCAAGATCGCCTTCATAAAAATCTTTTGGATTATCTTTTATAATAGAAAGTGTTTTACCCAGAGCTTTATTTACAAATAAATCTCCTTCTTCTAACCACTTGCCATCGCTCCTTGTAAATAAGTCTCTGCAATGAAAAATTACATAAATGTACAAATTCATATATATATATATATATATATATATATATATATATATATATATATATATATATATATATATATATATATATATATATATATATATATATATATATATATATATATATATATATATATATATATATATATATATATATATATATATATATATATATATATATATAATACAACCTATGAATACAACCTAGGAAAAAGTTGAAAATGCTAATAGTTAAACTGATAAAAAGTTTAATGTGATGATAAAAATAATCAAGTCACCACTAAGTTGCCATTATTTTGACAAAGTTATTTTTTTTAGGATCCAATGGCATTATGATTTAGGCATAAGTTCAAAAAAATCACTTTTTATCACTTTTTATATAAAATATTTGATATATTAACCTTAGTTAATACAGACTTATTATTTATTGACAATATTAAATAAGTTTAAAATAATTTTTTATTAGGCTGACAAAAGATTTTTTTGACATCTTTTTTGTTAATGCTTTTTATATAAACTTTACATGCTTTGTTTGTTTTTCAACCATAAAAAAAAATCTTTATCAAAGAGCTCAAAAGTACTGAAGTTCAGAATAAAAATTGCTACTTATCCTTGTAGTATAACATCTGTTGCGTAAAGAAAAGGCATGCAACTGCAGGCTATACACATATTTTATCTTTTTTAACATTGTTGTTTTCACTTTTAACAAGGCTGCAAGCAACCACTAATAGAGTTGGAAGTTAATGCAAGAAAAAAAGATGAAGTTTATAGAGCAAGATAATGATTGATATGAGTAACACAAGAATGAATTTTAGTAGATGGTACAAGAGATGCTAACTCTTTAGAGCAGTGCCCATTATAGCATTAATAGAAAAGAGAAAGAGAAGCAACATTACAACGATGTGATAATGGTTAGAGGTTGGCTGCAAGAGCAGGTCCAACTATGTTTACAATGCGTTTTTGCACCTTGTTTCAAAGATAAAGGGCATCATTGAAAGATCCATCCCAGATATGGCAACAGTACTCCATACAAGGATGGATTTGAGATTTATAAAGATAAAGGATAGAATCCTGAGTAAGAAAGTGGTAAGCACAATAAAGAGATGCAACCTTGGCAGATGCTAATTTTGCAGTTGATTTGATATATGGTTTCCAAGAATGATCAGAGGTAAGAGTTAATCCTAGAATATAAAGGGTAGATGACTCATTAAGTACATTACTGTTCATAAATATAGGAAGATCTAAATTATTGGAGATAAAAAATTACAGAGTGTTGGCTTCTTATCAAGAGAAGAATAAATATTAGCATCATTAGCAACTTTAACAGGTATTTTGTCCGGACAACACAAGCTGTAGAAGAGTCTAAGCAGGAAATCACTTTGGATACAGAAGCTGGAGTAATACACAAGTCAAGCAATAGACCAGGGTTGGCAAAAAAACCCAACCCAAAAAAACCCAAAAAAATCCACCTTAAAAAAACCCAATAAAACCCAAAAAAACCCAAAATATATTTGGGTTTTTTAAAAATGACCTATTTTACAACTGATATATCTGACTTTAACACTTATAAATGCTATATTATTAGCAAGTGCAACCTTTATACTGTAATTACTCTTGTAAACATTGTATTTATATACATAATGGTCTTTAGAATATACCCAAAATCGATCAATCTGTTTTTGTAGCAAGTTGGTTATTTATTATTTTTTTAAAACATTTAGCAAGTTATTATAAATGTTATTGAAATATGTATTAAAACATTAAATTAGTTAAATACTTATAAAGGAAATAAAAATCATTCTGTTAACTAAATTTCAAGACATTACTAGTTATTTAGTATCTTTATTCTCCTCCCGAATGTCTATATTCCTTTATATTGGTATTTGATCTTTTATTTTTTAAAGCTTATGTTGTTAACTGCAAAAAAAAAAAAAAAATACAAAGCCACGAGCAAAATACTATATATAAAATTTATTAAACTTTATTTACAGTTTAGAAATGGAAAGTTGTCAGGCGAAAAAAAAATGCTACAGTTTACTAGATTTGTCCTTAAGTGCATACAACTTTAAAACTTAAAAAAAAATTAAGTTATGTGCAAGCAAGCTTGCAACATGTTTGCTCATTCAATGAGAGAACATGTTGAAAACTTGTATGCATTTCACAAGGACAAGATTTGTTGGTAAAAATGACACTCGTGCTCGTCTGTCTTTTGACAGGTTTTGAATATTTTGCATCAGCTACAAGTTTACACCATGTACCACCAACAGGGGTGACTATGAACAGCGGGTTGGAAATTAACATCAGTATCAAGTTGCTAAAAGCTGAAGAAACACACACACAATAGAGCTATATAATGTGTTACTTTGATTCAGTTTGCAATTTGCATTACAAAACTGAGCCGGTAAAACATCTTCAAGGAAAAAAAAACTTGGTGGCGAAGACACTGTAATGGTTCTTAACAAATTTACTTTATATATATTTAGAAACAAAGTTTAGGCAAAAATCCATTTTTTGCCAGTTCAGTTGATCAGGCCGATAACTTTTCCAGGAAGCTGGACAGTATAATGTTCTGATAAAAAAATATGTAGTGATTAGGCTAGCAGTTTTCTTCTATGATACAAAAATGTTTAAAAAGTGTTCATAGTCATCCTGATTGATAATAACTTATATGGTTGCAACATCATGTTGCAAACTTGTTGATTACATGTTGTAAACTTGTGCAAAGTAGTTTTTGAATGATATGTTGAACATGTTAGTAAAAAAAACTAGTTTGCAATATTTATATTGTCTTACCAACTTTGAATAACTCAATTGTCATAATTTTTACACTGATTTTTTTTTAGTCAAAAATATTCTGAACATGTTTTTAATTTAGAGCAAATAATTAACATCATTTATAGTTGATGGAGTCCCTTTTTGCACTATAGGTAAAATGTGCTAGTAGACTAGTAGCAAAACATTTGGCTCGCAACCAGAAGGTTGGGGTTCAAATTACCTCTGCTGAAATTATCTATTTCTCCACACAGCGCCTTTGTTTAAAAATTTTAGTTGTTAATGTTGTTTGTTAGTAAAAATGGTAATGTTAAGGATTGAGACAAAATATTTTTAAAAAATGAGTTGCTACCTTGACTGAAATGGTCATTGGAGCAATAGGGAGGTGAATTTATGAAATTAAAAAAAAAAATTATTGTACTCATACAATTATAAAAATTTGGTATTTTGATCGATTTTTAAAAAAACCCAAAAAACCCATAAAACCCAAAAAAACCCAATAAAACCAATAAAAAACCCATTGGGTTGGGTTTTTTTAAAAAACCCTGGGTTTTTTCCAACCCTGCAATAGACTAACCTGTTTGTTGGCTATATCTGGTTGAACGGAATTAGTGGAATTAAGAGATGATAATGATGAGAAGTTCTTACAAAATAATTCAGCTTTTTCTTTAGGTGAGGTGACAAAATCTGAACCACACAAAAGAGGGGGACTAACAGATTCGCCCTTATTATAGATACTGTTAAAGATTCTCCAGATTCTTGACTTGGAATCGTTGAGAAGGAATAAAAGATTGCATGCCAGCCCGAACCCAAGAATTTATGTAAGAAGCACATTTGTCAGCAGGAAGACAAAAGGTTTCTACCCAAGGGCTCTAGTGTCAGTGACTCTGTGGGCTTTAATGGCTGCAGAGTCACTGACACTAGAGCCAAGCCAATCAGTGTGATGAGCATTAAAGTCGCCAACAACAACATATTGTATTATATTATAAATATTGTATTATATTATAAATATTGGCTGATGGGTAAAGAGAGAGGGCTTGGTCAATTTGATCAGAAATAACATCGAAAAGAGTGCAGTTTTGAGATAAAGGAGAGCGATATAAAACAAAGAGAGAGGCGATAGAGTGAAGTGGTGCTAAACAAAAGCACATAAAGGAATAGTCTGTGGATTCAAAACAAATTTGTAGTTTCCCGACAAATAAATGAATTCTCATGAATGTAAATACCCACGCCAAGCATGTGAATATTGGAGTTTTTAGAAATTAAAGAAAGGTAATCATTAACACAATGATCACAAGATGAGACAGTTCAACTCAAATTAGACTTACAAGGAGCAAGTAGCTCTGGCGAACTTTGCAAGAGATAGGACTCAACAGAAGAAAAGTTACTTCAAAGACCACAAATATTAGTGAATGATAGATTTAGAGAACTTGGTGATGACGATGATTTTTTGCGTTTTGGTACTTTAGTCATATTTGAATTTGTTTAAGAACTTGACTCAAAAAACAGATAGTACTCACTATACTATTTGTTAGTTTAAGCAATTGCTTCATTACTATTAATAACCCCTAAGCCGTAACAAAGAGATCCAAATGTGGCCTCGACTATGCACACTAAAAGTACAAACAGGAACACCATCCATGCGCAACGACTTAAAATTCAGTCAATTTTGTGGATTGGGTGTTTTTTTTATTAATAATTCAGCATCATAGCTGAATTATTAATACAAATAGACACAACCAACAAAAATATAGTGGTTTGACTTATCGTTATCATTATTCCTTTGCCATTTTGAATATCATGTGTTGAAAACAGGAGTGTAAGCAAGAGTTCTAATAAGCACTAAAAAACAACCTGAGACTAATCTCGACCATTGTGACATTGTTATTATTAGACTAGACAGAACGAAGGAAAATTATAAGGATCACCAGGCTGGCAGGCTCAAAACTAAGAAGAAAGTTTTGAAAGTGTTCATCTGATTTAGCAGTATCAACAAAGTCTGAAGCCAGTTTAACACCTCTTTCAGTGCAATCATTAACAATGTTCACTGCTGCAACATTCTTTGCACTGTTCAAGTACGCCACAGAACTTTCCCACTCACTAATGGAAAGTTCAAGAAAGCAGACGTCTATCTGCAGTCGATATATGGTAAACCAAGAGTCCTCTCCAATAAGTTCACACAGCCGTGTTGAGCTTTTTATGGATGATGGAAAAGTAGGTTTACCCCATCCATTACCAAATCGATGGAGTGGAGCTTGCAGGTCACACAATGATTGTGGTCTGAATTGTAGCAATGCATCAGCAATTGCTTGTCCCTCATTAAACGGTACACGGGTACTGAATAGAGCAAGTGGGACCATCTCCACAGTCAAATACCAGAGATGACGATTTTGTGCTCGAATTGCAAAGTGTGAAATGAGCTTATCAACAGTCTCATAAGATAGTAGACGTTTGTACAGCTGAAGATCATTTCATGGTAAATCTACAGTTTTTTTGCATGTAAGCCTATATTGCATATACACATGAGCTACGAATGTGGCAAAGGCACGCACTTTTTGCACTTGGTGATGACTAGTAATGGTGCCTGGGGGAAGTTCTCCAATCTGCGTCTCACAAAGTGTAATCTTGAGGGGGTAGATCAACTTCGCCATACAATGGGCTTTGTGTAATGCACTAGGTTATTTGAAAGTTATTATGTGCTTCTCTGATGACAGGTAGAGCAGCGTTAGCTCTGTGAATTCCTTATAGCCATCTCACAGGAACTCAACCTTTTCCATAGCAATAACAATAGCCTCTTCCTTCATTATTGCCAGCACCTCTTGTGCTTGTAGGCTATGACCAGCTGGACAAAACGGGAGTATGTAAGAGTAGTCATGTGGTATCAAATCAGTTACTTGTCAGACGTGTGATTAATGTAACATCTGGTGACTTTGACACTTCTATTTTATATCAGTGAACACATGTGATAGAAGAAGCTCTCCAATGTGATGGCGACATTCTGACCAGAAAACTGCACACTGCAATTTATCTTGAATGGCAATGCATGCCGCTGTTAGGTGACCCGTGTTAGAACTGGTAGTGTTGAATGTCATATTGACAATTCAATTATCACAATACCACTTAGTCATCAGCTTCATAGTCAACTCGACAATGATTTCTCCACATGACTTGTCTGAAGGTTTGTAATAAATTGGCACTCCTAAGAGCTTTAACTGTGAGGTGTCACAAACAACCACGGTCATGTATTCTTGAGTGACTCTGTGGTTTTCAAGAGTAGATGTCAACTTTCCATCCTAGTGCAGAGTACATAGTTTCGGTGGTTCCTAGTTATTGTGGATATTCGTAGTTATATCATCTACTACCCTACATCAAAAACAATCTGCAGTAGCACATGGAGCAGCGACTATGGATAAAACTCCACCAGATATGACAATAAGTGCTTGTGTGAATGCAGCCTGTTGCATTGGAGTCATCTTCAGTCTGGTAGCAAGTACCACCAGATTTGGTCAGCTTAACACACCTAGAGGTATGAAAGCAACTGTTCCATTTGATTTCTTTCGCTGAACTACTTGATTCATATCTTCTGCTTTAATATTGCAATTATCTTCTGAAGAAGAAAAAGACTCAGACTCTTCAGTGAAGTTAGTATTGCCCTCTTTATCAACCAAAAGTTCTGAAGATACTGTTGTGGTTGTTGCTTCAATGTCAATACATGAAGGCTTCAGATAATTCAATACTGCAGCTTAGCGACATGCCTGAATATTTTTTTCTAGTGATTTGTAGAATGTGCCAAAGCTGGCATATAAGTTCCCTTTCATTGATTGCAAAAATGCCAGGTTATCTGCATTTGTCACTAACGTTTCCACATTTGTCAGCCACAATTAAAATGTTAATGCCAACAAAGACTGCATTGCCTCAAGTTTGCGAAGCATAGCCTAGTTTTACTGCAACTTTTATCAATTGAGCAGAGTTTATTGTTATCATCAAGGAGTTTCACTACTTTATCACATGCTCTTTGTTCTGTCACCATTATAATATTAACTTTATGGAATAATTCTGCAACTTGCGGCAGCACAATCTTTGCAATTGTGAACCGAGCCTATGCGCAAATAGATCCGGTTAGCTCACCTTGTGATGCTGCATTGCAGTGGTACATCATGCACCTCAAGACTTGCAAGCAGGTGGGCAGCCAAATAGTAGTGATAGATAAATCAGCTTTGCAAATAGAAGGCCCTAAACCAAACAACTTAGTAGATTGGCGAGTCCGCGGATTTTTCTTAAAGGCCGAGAGAGCAGTTTCTTTTCTGAGTAGATCCAGAGGCATTCGGTGAACCAGATTGCAGCAGCACTACTTGCTTGTCCTTAGAAGATGTTGCAGTGGGACTTATTTATGTCGCTTCAGCCTCCTTGTTTTCATCCATATTTTACTCTACAAAATTAAGCATTTATAAATTTACCACGTCATATACCACTTTATGCAGTTACCTTTTTTTAATGTGCGTCAAACTGAACAATCAAAATGTTATTTGAGTTTAACATGCAATTATGCTGTTGTTGTCAGTTGTAAAAAAATGTGAATACTGAGTTCATTTATGTAAGCAAGGTTTAAGCAAAAATTACTGCAAAAACATTTGTTTTCTCTGAGCAAACAAATTTAGAACTTATCCAAATCTTGTATTGGCAGGCTTTTGACTTGATTTTTGATTAATCTAAACTTTCAAAAACTTCCAGACAACATTTATTTATCTAAAACCATCAACAAACATAGCTAACAAAGAATAACTATTATTTATTCACGCAAATAGAGCTGTATTAAGTAAATTTTAATAAACAAGTAATGGGTGGGAAATGAGTCTCTATGGTCTGTAATAGAGAAAGTTGTTATAGCCATGGGGACCCCTAAATATGATGCAATTTCATTTATTTTTGCACAATAAATTTATTTCAACCTACAGAACAACAAGGAATACCAGATAGCTGAGTATGAAAAAAAAAATTTGTATTTTTATCGAGACACCATCTCTAGCATTTACTCAACCCAGAGCCCCAAGGCAGGGGATGTTTTAAGTCAAAGATGGCCTATCCAAGCCTATGCCTAAAAAAGCATATCTTACAAGGCAGCAGGACATGAAACAGATTGTACATGTTACCAGTAGCAGTGTTACATGTTATTGATAGCAGGTAATATTTTTTATTTTTGTGTTTAACAGCTCATAGGCGCAGCATGGTGAAGGGGGATCGGAAAGATGCACATGAGTGCTGGTGGTACCAGTTGGATTTTTTATACTTGATACTTTCGCTTTAAGAAAATTTAATAAAAAAAATTAAAAGCTAAAAGCTCTAAAAAGTAAAAAAATGTTTTTTATTACATTTGAAATATATAACTTTAAAACTTCTTTTCTTATAATTTTAAAATATTAAAAGAAGTTTTAAATACAATAGCAACTCATTTCTGATGATTATTTAGCAAAAAAACAAACTTTATTTAAATTATCAAAGTGTATTATATATTATATAATTTACTTACTATAAAATTGTGAGTAAACTAAAATAAATATAATTTTATATGTAGGCTCTTTATTTGTACATAAATACAAATAATAAGCCAACAGTAAAAATATTATTATGTAATAAAAGATAAATAAAATCCAATAAAATAATTATGCAATAAAAATTGAAATATTTACAAACTTAATAACTATCATAGAGTAGCCAGTGGCTGTTAAGATGTGCAATTTTTCATTCCCAGCCAGGGTAACCAGTGACTGTTAAGATGTACAACTTTTGAAGCAGGAGCGGTGAGGTCATTGCAAGTGTCAGGTTTGAACTTATTTTTTTACGAAACTTTATTAAGAAATTTTTTAAAATAATTTTATTTTATCTATAATTGTTGTTTCAATTCAAATAAATTTATTTGTATTATTTCTTTTTTACATCATCATGCATACATACATTGCCTTAAATAGTCATAGTTGCAGTGGAGGTACATTGATTGATTTAAATAGGGATTGGGATAGCAAGTTTTAATGGGATAAAATACTTAAAAACTAACTTTATTTTAAATAAACATAAAATTTATTACTTTATTTAAAACTGTTCATTATTGTATAAAAACATTTAGCTAAAAAGTTTACAAAACATAAAAAAAAAGAATTTAGATATGTTTTTGACTATACAGTATTAAATGGATTCTTTAAATAAGTTTATGAAAACACAATTGTTGTCGTTGTTTATACAATTAACCAAATTTTTTAAAAACATTTACAGTTATCATAAAAAAGACATTCTTTTTAAATATATAAAAACTATATATAATATTTTATGATAATTTAATCAAAGAATATAGATTTTATTTATAAAATTTTAATCAAAGGATATTATATACTTACTACAAAATATTTTTTTATAGTAAACAATCATTAAAACTGTTTTTCACTTTATTTAAAATTTCTTTCAGTATAAAAACTTTGAACTTGAAAAATCTTAATTTTGAAGTTACTTATTTCAGCACAACTTATAAACATTTTTAAAATTTAAAAAAAGCGATGGTCAAGTTGTCGAAAAAAATATTATGAGCATGGTCAGGAATGCCCACTTTTCCTGTTTCATAAAAATTTCATGCAGACTTAAGTCCCTAGCACAAAAATTAAAATAAAAAAGTTTAAATGAACTTGTTTTTCTAAATGTGCACATTAAAACTGCTTAGTATGTTTAAGTATTTTGGTATATCTATAACATTATAATAGATTTATAGGTATGCTTACTTAAGGTATGCTTCAGAAGTTGCTTTGAAATAATAAAAGTACAAAATTATGAATTTCTTTGATATAAAACATCTTACTTTAAAGCTTGAGATATATTAGGCTTTTTTAATGTCTTTTTCCAACTTTCTTCTAATAATTTAGGCAAAGGAAATCCTTCAATTGCAAGTTTTAAAGAAGGCTGAACTAATTCTGACCATTTTAAATGTCCATGATTTGCATGAGCTGATAAAAGTCCCTTTATCATTCCAGGAATTCCTACTGCCATACCACCTAAAAAAATTTATTAAAGATTATGCAAAAATACAATTAATATTTTTTTAAATCTTATAAGAATTATGAAAAAAAAAATATAAAGTTTTTTTATTGATCGAGAGACACTTGGACAAGTTTTTTAATTGATCCAGAGACATTTGGACAAGTTTTTATAAAAAAAACATAATACTTTTAAGCAACTATTTTCACTTGATGTAAATCTAATTAAAGTAAAAAAAAGTATTTGAAAACATGTTTTATTATTTAGAGAGTCCCAAAGCATATTGGATATAAAATGCTGTTGGTGCATAAAGTACACCTTGTACATAAAGCCAATGGTTAGTAGTTTTAGTTTTTCACATAAATGGTAAAAATATAACTTATAGAGCATAAATATTAAAGTTAACCAGCCTCAAAATCATCACAACAAAAGAACAAAAATTTTGTTTCCTTCATTAATAGTTTTAGCTTTGGACAAGCCACTTACAAGCAATCGAAAAAAATTTATATTTGAACAAAATTTAAATTTATGCAGTCTATAACTTTTTAATGTTAATCTGCAATTATTCAATTGGTTGAAAAACAAAAAAACAAAAACAAAAGCAGAATACAAACAATGAGCTAATAAGTTTTATCTTTAAAAGGGTTTTATCTTTAAATTATAAACTTTAATTGCTGATTTGTCTAATTTTCAGTTATTAGTCACCAGCTTCAGTTGATAGTCACTAGTTGTTTTAGCCTCTGATCTAGTGTAGTAAAGATCTATCCAATCACAACAATATGCACGCCTATTTATTTTACCTAACAAATACAAAATTTTCACAATAACAACTTGGAAACATGGCGCTCAACAAAGATTTATCTAAGACATTTTCCAATCAATTCAGCATTAATTTTGCATTGCTAAATTCCGACTTTTAAAAATTAGGATATGCATTCTTGCACCTAAAAATTTCTTAGTTATCAATGTTTATAAAACTAAAAAGTGTGCTTATACCAGTTCACACTGCAGATAAAATTTCTTAATAGTAACCAAAATATGAAGTAATGCTATTTACTAAGGTTTACTCAAGTTCGATTTAGTGTTAATATTTTTAATACTGTTTATCAATCAATGTTCAGACCACATATGCTAGCTAATGCGAACAGAGATATATAGTTATTTAGACCAACACCGAACAACGTTATAGTTATTTAACACAGCTTTTTTTATGCTCGGTGTAACTTTATAACTTAAGTCTAACGATAATTGCTAACCAATAATTCACTATTGTGAATTATTGGTTAGCAATCCATTTTATAGAGTATTTGTCGGCAATATCGCCATTATCCTTTAATAAATATGATAATAAATATAATGATGATGAAAGAAACAAACTTGTTTTTATACTTTCTGTACTTATTATAATAAATTATGTAACTATTATGTATCAATAAAACAACACATACCATACAGAGATAAACTTGGTTGATTAACAAACATAGATTCTGTTGCTCCTGCAGGTGCAGATTCTCTAAAATCGTAAACAAAAAACTTTTTTTTAGCTCTCTCATACACAACCATAAAGCCACCTCCTCCAATACCTGTCGAATGAACTTGTACAACACAAAGACACAAAGTTGTTGCAATTGCACTATCAACAGCACTTCCATTTTTCTTTAAGATGTCAACTCCTTAATAAGAATTAATTTAAAATATATTTAAAAAGAGATAATACCTAAATATCGCAGTACACTACAACACTCAAAAAAAAAATCAAAAATTACCCAAAAATATTTTTAAAAGAAGTTAATAATTTATAATTAAAATATTTATTTTAACAAAAATTTATTCATAATTTATTTAAAACATAAATTCACACAAGCAGTAACCATTAGTAATTATAATTGAATATAAATATATTCAATTATAATTACTATTATGTAATGTTTATGATAAATAGGAGCAGAATAACGCCTACACAAATTTTAATCAATTCACTACTAACTAGAGCTTTGCAACCGGTGGAAATCGCAACCAGTTAACCAGTTTTTTGATCAGTTTTCTCAAAACCGAAAACCGGGTTTTTTTTCTTAAAAAACCGATCGTTAATTATACATTGCTAAATTCATAAATAATTTAAAGGTTTCTTGTTTTAATAAGCTAACAAGAAAAGTGGAAAGCACAAATATCGTAAAAATATATAAAGTTTTAAAAAGCACTTTAATATTGCATTTTTATATATTTTATATTTATTTTATACTTCATATTTGCAACACAACAAAATACGTCCTTACAACTTAAACGCTAAGCACATTTTGATAAAATGGTTGAAGATTTTGATTACATAATCAGTGCCGTAACTCATTGGATAAAAATACTACTACACAAAATAATATCCTAGAGAGATATAATAAGTTCCTTTCCAAAAAAAACGTTCTTTAAAATTGTAAAAAACCTATAACTAAACGAGGAAGTAGAAATTGTTTAAAGTTTAAAAAATTTATATCTTGTATTGAGGTATTCAAAAATGATTACTTTACATAGATCATGATTTTTGTTGTGATTACTAATTGATAGTAGGTTAAAAACTTATCCAGTCAACTTTTGAGAAAATAATCCAGCTTAAAAAGTTTACAAACTACATTTGAAAACTTTCTTCTTCATTGCAATTATACAACGAAGACTGTACTACAATTTTAAATGATTTTTGGCTTCGTTCTACCTCCATTCTATTATACCTCCTCGGTGTTTTATCTTTTTACTTTTTTATTTTTAGATTACATAATGACAGAATCTTTCAACAATTTTCAAATTTTGAAATGCTTATCAAAACAACCCACAAAAGACAAGTAACACTAACTTGAAATACTTTTAGATATTTTTGTTTGTTGTTTCATTTCGTTTGTTGCTTAACTTTTAATTTGAGATTGTTAAATAACAATTTCAAAATGGCGCACCCCATCTTCCATAATAAAAAACAGGTGTAAAACAGGTTATCCGGTTCATATGGTAAAACCGGTTATCCGGTTTTACCATATGAAAAAACCGAAAACCGGATTTTTGAAATTTTCCGGTTTTTGCCAAGCCCTACTTCTAACCCCTTTTATATTTGCAATAAAAAATTCATAGCCTTGAGTAGTATAAGACATAGAGGCTTGTAAAACCAGCTTAAGGCCTTTCCAGATTTCCTCTTTTTAACATTAGTTATTAAAATAAAACATGAGTAAAACCTTTTTAAATTCACATTAATTAACTATCCAAAACCAAAAAATTTAAAAAAAAGGATTGTTAAATTGTAAAATGCATGTAAACAAATTTTTTGCTACAATTTTGCTTGAAATAAAGCAAAATCAAAAATATTCTATATTTTTTGTTAAAATTATAAGAATATTATTTTTAATATAACTTTATATCTTTTATATAATAAAAAAGTTTTAATATGGAATACCGAAAAACACCTAATTAGGGATAAAACCTAATTACAAACAGTTTTATAAAAAGTCTTGTATCTTTTATATTATATCAAATTTATAACTTTTATTTAAATAAATATCTTAAACACAAGACAAAACAAATGATAAAAAAATATTTCGAAAACCTATTTGCAGTTGTGATTTAAATATTTATTGTGTTAAGAAATGAATGCAGCTAAGTCAAAACAAAAAATAGAGAAAGAAGCTTGAATACAGTTTGCTCTTTAAGCCATTAATGTCAAAACAATGTTTTGCTATTAATGGCTTAATTGAACATAAATTGTGAAAACTGAGTGTTTTAATGTGGCAAAATCAACTATTCACGACCGAGCAAAACGCAAATACAAATCTCTTGGAGCCAGTGCACCAAAAAAAAAAGAGTCAAACTGTCATGGTAATTATTGTCAATCTTTTTGAGCGATATTGGTTTTGGTTTGAAGAGAAGTGACAATTTGATTGTTGACAAAATCTGAACGGTTCATGAATGAATCAGAATGAATGTATCAAAATAAACTCGCTTAATCAAAGACGGGAAACCAACTAAAAAATGGTACAGTGGATTCATGAAAAAATAGTGGCATGCAAGCTATTAGAGCTTTTGTGGCATGCAAGCTATTAGAGGTTTAGCACTTAGCGACATATGTGTAAACATTAAATGAAGGATATAAAAATATTCTCTGAATAATAATAAAGATAAAAATTGCGCATGTGAAAATTAAAACAAAGCTGAGTAATGAAAGCAAGATAATATAACAATTATATATATTGTTCCTTGTTAACAATTATAATATGAAAATCAGGAGATAAGTAAAATATTAATAAATATAGCAATAAGACTAAATAAATATTGTAATAAAACCAGATAATTTTAAGCCAAATGAGTGGTTAAAAAATAAGTTGTGGGTATTATAACAATGATATAAATCGTGATATAAAAACGATGTAGAAAGCGGGAAAAAAAATTGTTAAAAAGTGAAGTTTTCTCTATGGTCCGAACTAAAAGAAACTTTGAAACCATATCTAAATTGAAATTTCCGAAAAATAAAGTTTTCTCTACGGTCCAATTAAAAGTAACTTTGAGACCATATCTAAATTGAAATTCGTTTTTGTGCTAGAAATTAGGTTTTGTGGCTACGCAGCAGAAAACGACTGGTTTGATGAAGTAGGCGCCATCTATCTTGAGTGCAATTTCATACTTTTAATTGTGATGAGTATGGATTACAATTCGACCAAGGCAAAGTTAAAATTGTATGCAGAAAAGGTACCAGAAATACAAAAAAAAACAAAAAAAAAAACTACTATTTTGACATGATATGGAAAATATTTGCCACATCAAGTAATTTACAAAGTAAAACGTATTAAGAAAAGCTGGTGCATAGGTGGTGCATATGTGGCGCTGAAAATGTTTATTATAATAATAGCAAATCGAGTTCGATGGAATCAAAACAATTTCTTGAGCGGTTCAAATCAGTTTTTTGGCCTCATGCAAATAAACTTGAAAAGTAATTAACTGCTCTTTCTTGATGGTCATGCCTCGTATATTAGTTTAGAATAGAAAAAAGTATCCTTTATCAAAAAAACAATTTTAAACCTGAAAGCCCTGGTATTTGATTTAGCAATAGTAGTTTATTTCCATTTAATCAATCAAAAATTTCTCCTGAAAAAACTGCAAAGCTGTAGAAAAGAAAATATTGATAGTTTATTTCAGCCTGTAACCAATACACCTAAAACTCCCAAAACACCATTAAGTGGAATGTCAAACCAAGAAGTGTTACTTAGTAGTTTAAATACAATAAATTTACACTTGGTATTTTCATTGACCTGTCAAAAACTTTTGACAAAGTCGATCATAACATTTTGCTTAAAAAACTTGAATGTTATGGCATAGCAGGTAAAACTCTAAGTTGGTTCAAAAGTTATCTCTCCAAACGAAAGCAATTTGTCTTTAATAAAGATTCCCAACCTCAAACATTAATGAACATAACATATGGTGTCCCACAAGGATTCATACTTGGACCACTTCTTTTCATTATATATATAATTGATCTTAACAAAGCATCCAATTTAAAGACAATAATTTTTGCAGATGACACAAACTTGTTTCAGTCACATGAAAATATAAACCTACTTTTTAATAATATGAACAGAGAACTTGAAAAAATTTCAATTTGGTTCAAAAAAAATAGGCTATCTTTAAATATTGAAAAAACAAAATGGATACTTTTCCATCCAAACTATAAAAAACAGATACTGCCTGTAAATATGCCTAATCTTTTTATAGACAATGTCATTCTAAAAAAAGAAAACGTGACAAAATTTTTAGGAGTTTTTATTGAAGAAAATCTGTCTTGGAAGTCACACATCAATAATATTTCTAATAAAGTTGCAAAAAACATTGGAATTCTATACAAATCTAGGGGTATTTTAAACAAAAAGCAATTAACACAATTATATTACTCTTTTATTCACTGTTATATCAATTATGCAAATATTATATGGGGAAGTACACATAAAACTAAACTTAAATCTCTTTATCGGCATCAGAAACACGCAGCTCGCATAATAAATTTTAAAAATTGTTTTTCAAACTCTGAGCCGTTTTTAAAAAAAATGGACATTTTAAATGTTTATCAACTAAATGTATTTAATGTTTTGTGTTTTATGTACAAATGTAAAGAACTTATGTCCCCCGATGTATTTGTAAACCTTTACAAGACTAAACCCCAAAACAAATATAACTTACGTAATAATAGTTTTTTAGAAAAACCTTTTTGCAATAATAAACAAGCTCAATTTTGTATATCTTATTGTGAACCTTTTCTCTGGAGTGAAATAGTTCGGCCTAATTTTATTTTTTCATCTAAATTGACCTATTCCTTTTTCAAACAATTTATTAAAAAAACATTTTTTCAACAAAAAATATTTTTGATTTTTTTTTATTAAAAAAAAAAAAAAAAAAATTTTAGTTGCTATACTGCATAATGATTTGTTATGTTTTATTTTGAGTTTCACTTCTGAAGTATGTAGTGTCAAATTTATGATATATTTCGAGATTATATATTCTCGGTATATATTTATTGTATATAATATATAGATGTTTTTATTGTAGAAGAAAATAGAATTTTGTTAAGGGCTTCGTGATAAGATCATTACGATCTTCTTGAAGTCCTGTCCGTATAATTATATATATATTATAAATCTTGATGTAAATAATATTATGCAGCAAATAAAATAAATAAATAAAAAAATAAAAAAAATAAATGAAACAGTTAAAAAGGCAGGAAAAGATATCAACCAATCGTTTTAATGTTGCTCAAAGATCAACTTACATCTTTAGATAATAGAAAAGAGAAAGAATTAAATAACCAGCCAATTTTGATATGACCAAGCCAAAAAAGAATCAAAAAACTAGACAAACAAGCTGCCAAAAAAATATCTAGAGAGCAAAAACAATTGCTGCTGCATCTCAAAAGGAGGAAAATGCACGAAAAAAAAAAAAAAAATTTTGGAAAGCAAGTCAGCTATCTAAAACAAACAAACAAACAAACAAAAAAAAGATTCAAGACTCAGAAAATATTAATCCAATAAAAAGCCCATTCGTTCATCTTATTCTTGTGGTATTGATTGGGTTAGTAGCACAGATGCTCAATGGCTTACATGCGAACAGTGCTAGTTGGTCTTAGCGAATGTGCTAGTTGGTCTTGGGTCGCTTGTGTGATTGAATATCATCCCACTATGGAATTTATATGCATGGAATGCCATTAGAATATTTTTTGCTATAACATAATATAAAACAATTCCATTTAAGTAAAATATTTATTATAGCTTCGTTAATTAATTTAATAAGTTTATGCATGTTTTTTCTGTTTTGTATCCATTCGGATTTAGATTCACAGTACCCTAATTCAGGATAAAAACAAGTTTTTATTGTGTTTTAATTTTGTTTCAAAAAATTTAAAATCTTAAATTTTTTGAAACTTGAAATTGAAATAACTTTTTTTTTTATATTGCTTGATTTGTCTTGTTGTTACACATATTTAAATGTTTTTTTTTTTTTGAAACTCAAAAAAATAAAATTATAATAAGTGAGTTATTTAATTTTTTTTCTAAAAACATCCGTAATTAGATGTTTTTATGATATAAATTATTATTTTTGTATTTTTTATTTGAAATAATTAAAAAACCTTTAAAATAAAGATTTTATTCTATCTAAAACAAAGAAGACTTTAGTTTTTTATATATATTATTTTTTATTACTATTACACTTATTATATATTTATGTTTTCGGTGCATTTTAGTGAATTCTAAACTATATAAACTAAAAAAACATAATGAAACAATATAAAATATAAATTTTTAATTATATATATTTTTATATTTTGAGTAATATAAATTAAAAAATTGTAAGTAAAAAATTGTAAAATAAAAAAAATTTAATAGATTATTTTTTTAAACTTAGTCGAAATAAAAAAAAAAGAATATTGTAAAAATTAAAAATATTGTGATATAACCCTTTTAATTCTAATTGAATATTTTTTTTTTTTTTTTTTCTTTGGCTTAAAAATTTGACTAAAATGGCAGTTTTCAAATAGGCTTTATGTCATTTGTCTTTGGCATGAAGGTTTCCATTTGATAATAATAGAAACCTTCAAATTAAACAATTTTTTGATTCTCTTTTTAGACAAATTTATTGTTTTTATACTTACCAATTTCTGAACATAAACGGCTATCAGCGGCCACAGCTGCATGGTCATACTCATTTGCTTGAAATAATTTGGATGGGTCTTTATGATGGCGTGTTTTTTTTTTTACTACAACTGCAATGACAATTATAATTATGATAACAATTGCTACAGCAAGAATCCCAAATATCCATTTCCTTAAATTGGATCTAAAAAAAAACTCAAACTTTTTAGAAAATAAAAATTAGAAGTTTATTGATACTGAATACTTTATAAAAATATTATTTATTCTTTGTTTTTGGTTAGGTTACATTTCATTATTATTACTGTTTTCAATGTACCACTTTTATTTAAAATATATACATATTTTAACAATACTTAGTAGTTACAAATATTATCAAAAAATTAGTATTATTTTAATTAATTAACAAGCTATATTGGAATTTAACACACCCATTATTTAAAAACTACTTTTAAACTATTTATTTTTTTCATTGTTGAAAATCACCACTCAAACTTAAATATAAATTTATTACCCATTATGTAAAAAAAATATAATTCATCAGCATTTTTAAAATTATTTTTACAATAATTAGAAAAAACTAATTTATATTAAAAAAAGCATTGGCAAAGAACAGAGCCCTGGGATACATTACTTGATATATAAGCTATATATGACAATCTCGCTAAGAACAACTCATTGCTTTTACTTGATAAAAAAGGCTCAAGTAACTAGTAATAAAATTGTTGAAACAACCTAGTAACTAGTAATAAAATTGTTGAAACAACCTAGTAACTAGTAATAAAATTGTTGAAAAAACATAGTAACTAGTAATGAAATTGTTAAAACAACCTAGTAACTAGTAATAAAATTGTTGAAACAACCTAGTTACAAGTAATAAAATTTTTGAAGCAATATAGTAATTAGTAATAAAATTTTAAAAGTTAAAAAAAAATAATTTAAACTAAATCTCATTAACTAACCTTTTATTTCCATTTACTACTTCGTATGAAGTCATTTATTTTAAACTGAAAACAAAAAATTAAAGAAACAAATGAGTTTATTTACTTGAATGTGAAGTATTGTGGGTAAAGTTTTAAAGACTTTACATTAAACAATATTATTGTTAAATGATATTTCATAATTATGAAATAACTAATCAAAATTGCGTGATCATGGGAAGGCGAATGCAGTAAAAGTAAAAAATAGTAAAACAGAAAAAGAACCTCTATTAGTAAAGGACCCATTATGTTTTTTAAATTTTAACAATTACAATACAACTAAAAAAGTTTTAAATGAAAATAAATATATTAATAACAAGTTACTCATAAAATAATAATAAATAATATGAATAGTTCAAAAAAGGTTAAATTCAAAACTTTTTTCAATAAATTTTTCTTTTTCTTTTTTTTTTGCTTTTTATTTCTATGTAAAAATTATAAATATAAAATTTTTTCTTTAGAGCTGCAATATTTAAAATGACATTAAAGCACATTAAAGAAATTGAAAGTTTCATATGTTTTCTATTCGAATACGATAAACAATTTTAAAATATAAATAGATTCTTATAATGCTATATAATCATTCTACGATATCTGATTTTGACTTTTTCTTTAAAGGTTGAATTGGAAATGTGTCAGAATCCTAAAAAGAAAAAAAAAAGAAAAATAAATGAATAATGAATTTTAAATACTAAAAAAAAAAGCTTTCTTATCAATTTTTTATATAATAAAATTTTTTATGGGCCACAAAAAATGATCAAGAGATAATGTAAATATCTGTAATTATTACACAAATTTTAACTTAATATGTTACATAAAACTTAAACCTTAGGTTAAACTTAAAACTTACGTAAAACTTAAAAGTTTTAACTTAATATGTCAAGTCAAAGCCAGTTTACCTTACTGTTTTCATCTTCATCTAGGTTATTACTAAAACTTGTTTGAGACGGAAACATTGAGTCGTCATTTTCTGAGTTAACACCTGCTGTTACCTTCATAAGCTCCTAAAAAAATCATATAACATTTTAGCAACTGAAAAAAAACTACATAAAAAAATTTTAATTGAAAATTATTTTTCAAAAATGGTTTTTGAATTTTTATAAATTTAATAAACTTGTCTTTTCTCAAATCTATGTGACAAATACAGGCATAGATCAAACAAACTTTATTATTTTATTATTCAGATGAAATGTAACATAATAAAAAACACATTTTTTTTTAACACATTGATATTAAAATAGAAGTTTCCATTTTTAACTGAAAAACTATTCTAATTTCAATGCTAATTAAAAAACTTATTTCTATAAAAAAATAATAACAATTGCATAAAACAATTAATATATAACTATTTATTAGTATTAACATTAATAACAAAAATTTAATAGCTAAAAACCATTTAATAAATAAATAAACCTGTGAGAAGCCAACAACATTATTTGAATTGTTATTCCGGTGAGAAAATGCTCCACCAGGAAGATTGCTGTTGCTATCTTCTGATACTGAAAAGCTTCGCCCAAAATTGGAACCTTCACTTGAAATAATAAGATAAATCAATTAAAATAAAAAGACAAATAGATAAACATCATTAAGGATTTATTGTATTGATGATTGAAAACTTTATTGAGGTAGAGGTGCAGAGGTTTCATAAGCAAGAGATACAAAGTTGAAACCTTATTACATCTTTTGAATTAATAACACCATATTCAACCTGCTTCTCTGTGCAGCAGCCTTTTCGTCAAACATTTGTTTTTATTTTCAAGTTTTTATTTTTATGTTTCAGAATAAAAAGGTTATAAGGGTTGTAAATTAACAAACAAAACAAAAAAAGGTTAATTATATCAAACAAAAAAATTTGTAGAGATTAGAGTAATTAGGAAAGTGTTTTTAATAACTTTCAAAAAATTTTAGAAGACAAAGCTCTGTAAAAAGCATAAGAAAGTATTTATTTAGAAGTGATCAGTTCAAACATACTTAGAGACATATTGGTTATTGGTATCTGTATCAAATTTTGAAGTGGAGTCATCAAAACCAAGTGAACTATCGTTTACTAAAGTTCAAAAAAAAATTTTACTTTTAGAACCATTAGCAGCATTTTTAAAAAACATCAAAAAATACAAGCTCTAACCAATACCTACTGCAGCTCTTTTTAATGTTTTTTTTTGAGGATAGTCTTGAAGAGAATCTATTTCTTGAGAATCTTCAGAGTGTGGTGCTGGAGATGGGTAGCTACAGTTAGAATCTTCAAAGTCTACAGCTATTTAAAAAAAAAATATGTTATGTAATAACGTGAGTTTACTAAGTAAAAAAACAAAATTGTCAAATAAAAAATTTGTAAAGTAGAAAAACAAAATTGTAAAATAAAAATTTAATAAAACAAAATAAAACAATATATAAAAAACAATAACCTGAAACACAAACTTACAGACGGGTTTTGATACTTGACTTTTCTTTTTAGCAGATTTAGTTTTATCCTATTATTTCATAAAAATATATAAACACAGTTAATGATGTTATGATTATGATTTCAAACTTTACAATTTATCAAATATCATTTTAGTGTTTCTTATTTGAAGTAATCACAACAAAAATCATTATCTTGGTAAAGTAATTTATAAGTAAAGTAAAGGCAAGTAGTATATAACTTTTTTTTTTTTTTTTTGCCAATTAACTGATTAAATCTCTCCAGGATTTTATTTTGTGTTGTATTTTTGCTGGATTTAAAAACACTCAGCCATATTTTAAATATAGGAGTATAAAATATCTTTTTATAAATCCAGCAAAAATACAAATCTAGACATTTTTAAATTCTAATTTAGAAATTTATTAATAGCTGATTCAAAAAACACAACATAAAAAAATAAATATAAATTACACTAAGTCATATTAATAATATTATTTAATCAAATCAGTAAACTAAATAATATTAAATATATCAACACTAAATATGTTTATCAACTAAACATTTATTAGATCATTTTTATATACAAAAATGAAAAAAAAAAAATTTTTTTTAACTGAAAGATCTTTTTAATATTTAACACCCTTTTAACATAATAAATCATGTTAACTCATGTTTGGTATAAGTTAATTAGTTTTTGAAACTAATTAACATGACATTGTGTTATAAAAAGAACTGATTTCTATAGGCAATGACATTATTGCTTAAAAACGTAGAATTCAAAGGAAGGTCAATTGAATAAAATCAATTGAAAATTTTTGAGAGTGCAGAAAAATCAATGGATAATTTTTATTTCTTTATTTCTTAATTATTAAAATAACATTTTGTGGTAAAAAATACTTTTAAAATGTTAAATAAACAACAGATAATCATTATAAATACTTTATTAGGCTTATAATTAATATATACCAATTTTTATTTGAAAAAGATTTTTTCCCAACTTTAAGAGTTGAGAAAATTAAAATTCTTTAAGTGTTTAACTTTGGTTCTGAAAAATATGTGCATTACTTTAAACTTAAGCAACAAAAATTATACTAGAGATATTAAAAACTATATATCATGGGTACATATGTAACATTTAAAAGCACAAATATATGCATCTATTCAAAAAAAATAATTTTATTTTATTAATTAATAATTAAAAATAAAATACTACTATCATTTATTCATCTTTTTATTAATCTTAAGATTTTTTTGTTTCTCCAACGCAAAGGGGCTGAAACAGTCAATGTGGTAAATTTATATATATATATTTCTGCGTGTACTAAAAATAAAATTAGCCATCTAATATTTAATATATTTAGCATAATTTAGCATACATTCGTCAGAATTATAATGAACAAATTTCTCTTCCCAAAATTCTATGTAATCAAAAGAAAAAAATTTGAAAAATCTATTTTAACGTAAAAATGGTATACAAAAATTTTTTATGTTTACTTTTTATTAAAAAATCAAAAAAAAAGGCCAATCTCAAACATAGAAATGATGCAATATTAACCTTTCTTTTGTCTCCTTCTCTTTCTTCCACTGAAAACAAAAAAAATCTAGTGAAAGGCATAAAAAATAATGTTAAAAAAAATATATTGAAAATAAATAGATAAGTTAAAAATTGAAGCAAGAATGACAAATGATAATAAAAATGACTAATGATAATAAATATCTAGTTAGATAATAAGTTGAATAGAATTCTACTCAAATAAAATTTCATGTTTAAATAGCATTTAAAAAAGTTTTAAATGCTATTTAAACATTCAGTAGGATTTTTTTAACTTCATTTCTAGTTTTAACTTTAATTTTTAGTTTATGTTTTACAATTAAACTTTAAACATTTCAATTTTTTTATTTTATTTTTCATTCTACCATTTATTGATTATTATTATTTTTTTTATTTAAGCTTCAAACTTTTTATTTTTAAATTTTATTTTGTTTTATATTTTTAAAACATTTTGCTATTTTTTATATTTATTATTTTATGTCTTTGCCTAACAAGTTTGCTAAGGTCTTGAACTTTTGGTTTTAAAACAGTTTATGATAAAAAATGATAAAACACTTTCTATGACCATGTGATTAAATCATAAAACACTTTCTATGACCATGTGATTAAATCATAAAACACTTTCTATGACCATGTGATTAAATCATAAAACACTTTCTATAATCATGTGATTAAATCATAAAACACTTTCTATGACCATGTGATTAAATCATAAAACACTTTCTATGACCATGTGATTAAATCATAAAACACTTTCTATAATCATGTGATTAAATCATAAAACACTTTCTATGACCATGTGATTGATAAAACACTATGATCATGTGATTGATAAAACACTATGATCATGTTTATAATTTAGTAGTTTTGATTGTTTCAAGATATGCAAAGAAAAAAATTCTTTATGTTAAATAAAGTTTTTTTATAATTTTTTGTAAATACTTTAAAAAGTTTGAAACTTTATTATAGTTGACATTATGATTCATAATTTGGATAGAATTTGATTTTTTTGTTCTTCAGTGATCTTTGAATTTTAGATGCATTGCTTCTGTTGCTTACGAATTAAATAACCCATGTGGCATCACAGCATTAAATAAGATCTGCAATATTGAATAACATTTGCAAAATTGAATATCACCTGCAACATTGAATAACATCTTAGACAAGATTCACAGTGCAAAATGAAGTTTGATTGCTATAGCTATTAAACTTTTTTTCAGAAACCTCCCAATCTATTTATCAAACAAAACAACTAATAAAACTTTTAAATTTATCAAGTTGACACTCGAATTTCGTCAGTTTTCCTGGCATTTAACTAATGATAGCATTATTTATCTCCAGACAGCTGTTGCCTGACAGCCAGGCAGCTGTTATACTTAAGGCAAAGTATATCAAAACTGGCCATACTTCGAATCGTCTAAAGGCTGATACTTTTGGGATCACATTAATAAGGAAAGTAAGAAAAGCCTTACTGGTACCATTAGGCTAATTAAAAAGGTCATCTGAGATTTGGTTTAGCTTGTTTTGGGTAAACCTAGAACTTTGTAATGCAAAATCAATGATGTGAAGACCACATAAACTCAAGCACTGATTTTTGCGATATAATTTTCTATAATTCTAATGACAGTTTAATGGTTACATTTTGACATTTTAGTTCAAGTAAAACAGCTAACCTGTTTTTCTTGAAATACTTTAATTATGCGAATACTTATCAAACGTTGTAATGAATAAAATGTAATGAAAACTCCTATTATAAGCAATCAAAGATCAAGAACTAAATCAAGCTATTTCATTTTTTTTCAGATTCTAGTATTTCTATTATTTATTCTAGTATTCCATAAGTATTGATTATTAATTTACTTATTTTTATTTCATTCAACTTGCTTTTCTTAGAAGCAATTTTACAAATTTTTCAGGCTTCTAAAAATTCCTTATAAAATTGCCGCCTTTAATAAAAATTCTAAGTTACAACATTCTTAACGAGATTCAACATTCTTAACATCAAGTAAAATGCAACATACTTAAGAGTAAACAAAAATAATATAGTTAACACGAAAAAATAAAAAATCAGTACCTGGAACCCATCTAAATGCCTTCATTGTACAAGTTGAAGGACCAACAGATATCCACTTTTTTTCCCTAAAACAAAATACTTTTTTTAGTGTATAGATAAATAAATAAAATTTTTTTAAGTGTATAGATAAATAAGAAAAATCTTAACCCAAACCCTAAGTTGATCTAGCAGCACTTGTTTATGGCAGTAGGCTAAACAATAGTTGATGTATGTACTGAGCCCTCATTAGCAGCCTAATTAAGTGTGATGTCAAAATGTTTATTTAAACACACATATACATTTGTATTGCTATCTGTTGTAAAATATATTTGTATATAACAAGTATAAATTGTCCCTATATGAAAATACTTATGTAATGGATGCGTATATTTTTATGTATAACTTTTTTATTATATTACTATACTTATTTGTTCATAAGCACGTTTAGCTTGTTTGAATAAGGTGTTTACTTTCTACACAGAATGTCCGCGAATGTTCGATTCCCACCTCCACAAATTTTATTTTTGTTTTTCTACCTGCCCCTTCTTTTTGAACTACTATGTTATTGGTGAAATATACGTAAACAATTATTACTAATAACTATTAATTGTTATGCCATTATTGATAATAATTGTTAATTGTTTATGTATATTTCACCAATAATATAGTAGTCCA